CGTGGCCCTCAAGATATTCTTCAGCAACCCGAGATCGGTGCGGTCGTCTATCAGAAGAAATCCAGGACCAATAGCAGCGGCATATGGGTGGGCATATTGATCAAGCATCTCGTCTCGATATCTCACACCGGTCAAATTTCCTCCACGGAACACATGCAGGCCAGAATGATCACCGAGAGAGATCCCAGCCCAAACCATTATTCTACCACCTCTGTAACTGTGTCTTTCCACAATGTGGGATAGATTGTATCTGGTGCGTTGTTGCCTCGAGGTTAGTTGACAACCTGAATCACCCTCTAGTGTGAACCTGGTCTTGTCTGTGAAGAGAACAGATGCCCATTGTTGACTGGTCCAGGAGACGTGTTCTCTTGCCCAACATAAACGGGCACATCTGTGCCCTCGGGTCAAGAGGACACAAATAACTCGTCATCTTGCATACAGACCTGTATTGTGCAGGCGTCTGCGAACTGTAGTAGCTGAGATTCTTGTTCCTGTTGCCACTAATTGATCTCACATGAGCTGAGGCACAGTAATGTTACTCCTCCTTCGGGCCGAAAGAGCTAAATAACGGTCTTCCGCAGTTGTTGTCACTCTAGTCTTCATGGAATATGTCTTCTAGACATAGAATCCTCGGATTCAAACTGATTCCATAGTCGGTGGACCACGCTACGAGAGATATTGAGACGTCTAGCAGCACCAGCTTGTGACATCTCCATTTCCATCCATCCGATCGCCCGTCACATCAATAAATCGGGCAAATGACTTCTCCTGGATATTGACAGACTCTTCTGGATATTATGCACAAAACTGTAATAACAACTGAAGATCAACACTCGGGAACAAAAATTACAATTTTTGCAGTGTTTCTCGAACTCATATAAGTATTCATTTCTATAAAATAAAAGTGGTAGCTATTGTTTTTGCATATATTTTCTTAAACTACGTTACTATCAAGCATATAAACTGGGAATTTAAACGTTATTGACATTTTTCTAATGGTGAACTTTGAAAAACATGCAGTTCTTTAATTTTTAAAGGGCGGTGTGTGTGTGTATATATATATATTGTATACGAACTGTTAGTACAAAAGATTTTACGCATTAAAAATATTTTTCATGAATATGTTTTCTATGAAAATAAAATAATACTAGTAAATCAAAAATACCGTTAAAAAAAAGCTGGCCCGGCACCCACTAGATGGTTGCAACATTTCATGGCCTTTCTCACAGGGAGGGGGGAACGTAGCCATACAGCAACATCAATGATTATTTCATGGCCATTGGCAGACCGATTAATAGGTGACGGTGATTCCTTTTAGTTGGATGATGTCAAATTTGCGTAATAGAATTTTTTTCAAAATCAAAAACAAAAACTTTCATTTGCACCATCTACTGTATTATAAGTTTCAGAAAGAAATGAATGTTTGAACTGCAACAGAAAGCATTCGCGCTGTGTATTTAAACTGTTTTCCTGATTCTCAAAACAGTGAAAAAGAAGTCTGGAAAATTCTGGAATGGTAATAATATTTTGGAGAACACATTCTGCTCTGAACAGTTTTCAGCGGATGAAGTTGTGCAAAAGTAGTGGAAAATTTTCTGAACGACTAAAACGTAAGCCCCGTCTGCACGAGAAAACATATCTCCGAATAATAATCTCAGCATGTCCGTGGTGCTTGCGCCAGTCTATCTACAGAGGAAAAAAACATATCTCTGGCGCGTCAGATATACGTCTGTAGCGTTTGGACCGGTAGGCGTGAATACTGCACATGATAGAATGCCCTGATGCCAGAGACATTTGGCGATAGTAAATGAAATTAAGTATGGAAATCACATGTCAGTAAAAGCAATGACGGTTACTCTTTACCTTTTAGCTTACTGAATAACATATGGCGCGATTCATTTGGAGTTTTTGTTATTATTTTAACAAACTCAATTTATGATTTGATATAACTTTAGTATCATAACTTTCGATTGATTTCTTTACAAACAGAATATTTATTCACCTTGATAGAAGTGATTTGATATTGTAAACTTTAGAGGGATGCATTTTTTCCTTCCATTTGTTAGCGTGAACTAAATCTGCTAGAATATGTTTTCCTGCTTAAGGAGATTACTATATTTTTATATTTTGAGAAGTCCGAGTCTGACAGAAAAGCTTAATTTATCATTTTTTTGCATTTTATTATATTTCCGATTTTCTATTGTTCATGATTTTTCAAGATCTGGGCTAGGTTTAAGTAGATCGATCGCCTGGCCCATTTACCGAAATGCTTAAAAATTTCTATGAACCAACAGATTGAATTCGAATTCAGCTGAGCTATTTACTGACTTTTTCCACTAAAAATAAATGTTTCATTCTTTCTGTAATTAAAAGAGTTATGTTGAAGCAAAAATTCTCTCCTATTTCTTAGGTATTTTAGTGAAATTATAATTTCAGCCAGAGCCCCAAATAAGACAAGGTCCAGTATTTTATTATTTATCTCTATCATTAATTTAATAATTTGTTAAATTTTTATCTTAAAATTAGGCACAACATGTTATTTTGACTTAAGCAGTAGAATTCCCTTTGCTAAAGAAAAACTTGTGTCTGATAGTTCTCGAAATTGATAGTTTTGTTTAAAATCTATGCAAAAATAAGATTTCTGTTTTGTGTAATTTTGAGTTTTACACTGGTGTGCTTCTCACCCAATAATTATTTATCTCTTTACATTTTATTGAGTTTTAATTATTTTAATCAATAAGTAAGTAATTATTTTATGATTCTACCATTTATTTTTGCTCCTCTTTCCTGAGGGCATTCCACAGGGCTCTAGCACTTCTAATTTTAGAAATTTAGCCCTGGTCTAGCTGAGTAATTTCAGTTTAGGCCTGCATCTATCATAGTACTCACTGCATATATTATATTAATCAGGATAAACTACTATAGTAGCATAAAATTTCTGTTTTTACCCTAAAGTCAGTAATACAATGATAAGTAAGTGTCACTGCCTATTTATATTATTCACAGATGTCCCTCACATAGTTATGCATCAAATCAGCTGTGAGCCCAAAAAATATGAATATTTTCTAAAGCATATACTAGTGAATGAAATAAACAATATCCAATTAGAAGATGCAATGTATGTTTCAGTTAAAATATTCAAACCTGACAATAAAAAGAGTGTCAAGTAACTTTACATCCGCTTCAGTGTTTTGAAAACACTTGAAAGTTGAATCTTTTTACAAGCATCATGCATCAGCAATTTATTCATTTTACAGAAAGGTTTTTAACAGAAGATAAAAATTTTATCTTTTACCCTGAGCGAAATTTGAGCGATGTAGCAAAGTTTGAGCAATATTAAATAATATTCATATCCTGCCAAAATTAAGCTGCCTTCATACAAAAGGAATGATCCAAATGATTTCAAAAGATGAATTTTCTTAAAGAACTATATTACTTTCCTGAATGAGCTAAGTTGCAACTGGCAGACTATTTGATAGAACAAAAAACATATTACTTTCTTTAGTTGTTGACAAAAGTTAATTTTTTAAACCTCCCATTAGATATTACTATTGCATTTTCTGCACAATGATTACTCAAACACATATTGAAACATATCAGATGTATTCATCTACAGAGGGATGACTTTTATGTAGGGTTTTCAGGAACAAACTATTAATGTGACCAAGACAAAACTACCAATATTCAACAGTCTCAATTAGGTAGACACTGGTGGCTGTGTTTACACCTAGTAGCAACTAGAGACTTCGTAATTTCTCTCTATTTGCTACTAGGCTTAAAAAAAAAAATGCATTAAATTTGCTGAATGATTCACTTCATGAACATTTTGCTTCACAAATCTGAAAATCGCACTGAGTGAGTAACCACAGATAATTCTGGGGGTGATTAATCTGAAATCCACTGAATATTAAGGCTTTAATTATTTTCAGTATGAATTGAAAATTATGTAGTCTGTAAATCCTGCTTTTGATTTAATAGAAGTTCGAGGAAGGAAATCCACTTCAAAATATATTTGGCATATGCCACAATCAAAGTGTTCTTCGACCACTTGCTTTCTGAAAAAAATTAAACTGCTGTTTAGGTATTCTCTCCCTTCTCTACTCTTTGACAAATAAGTAGATTGGTAGATTGAGCTTTTTATCCAATAAAACTTCCCCCCCCCAAAAAAAAGGAATCAAAACTTCTAATCATGAGAATTTATATAGATTAATTAAAGTATTGCTTCACAAAATTACTTACAGATTTATAGAAGCCCACTAATCCTATTACTACATAATGTAGTTATATAACTGCAAATATACACATGGCATTTACATACACACTTGACCAGATATAAATTTTACTACAGTGAAAATTATGAGTGATTAAAAAGAAAACTACATGAACTCAAAAAGAAACCAAACTATTTTATTTTAGTAAATATTAGTCTATTATTTTAATTTGTGCAAAAGATTAAATGCTTTGAAAATTATAAATTTAACACTACATAATTAAAAATTGACTATAAACAAAATGCTAATACTCATTTTCTTAAAATATATTTCAATCCATATCGAGCGGTAAAGACGCCGAACACTGGTAGTTCGGTTTGAGGTTCAAATCCCGCAAACAGGCTGGCTGCATGAGCGTTTTCGTAGTTTTGCCCATGTGTAACGTGTATACGAACCAGTTTCCATTAGAAAGTCCTCCACGAAGGCATCCCTCCCTTTTTTTTTTTTTTTTTTTTTTTTTTTTTTTTTTTTTTTTTTTTTTTTTTGGAGGCAGATAGTCCTCGTGTGCTTTGCCATAACTGAATAATCCAATCCAATCCATATTGAGGAGATACAGATCAGTATTCAATAAATATGATTGAATCAAATCTTAAAACTTAATTCACTTCTATAGAGAAATACAAATTTCTATTTAAACATAATCTCATCCACTAACTTCCAATTTACTTAGAGCATTTAAAATGACTTTTGTGTAGCTATAAAAACCTTAAAATGTAAAATCTAAATACTTGCTTTTAAAATTTCAGAAGCATTAAAAACATGCATAATAAAAAATTATTTTAATTATACATACATAATGTATTGTGTTTATATATAGGGGCTCTACTCATTGAAAATGTCTGGCTCACTAAGAATTTAACTGACCTAACTGCTGCTAGAAGGTATGTTTATTAGTTTATATGCATAATTATATTAGTTAAGTAAAAATATTTAGCACAAAACTGTTTTACGGTGAACCAAAAATATTTTACATATTTTCCATCTCCTACCAGCAGTATCTACTTTTATTACATATACATTTATTCTATTTGGAATTCTAGTATGTTTGGTAGATACCAATTTGATATTTTCTGTTACAACATTTATCAATATAAAACCAATAAATATCATGATAAACTAAAATTTTAGTCATGCTTGAATATGTAATATGTAAAATTTCTAGAATATTCAGAATTTGCAAGAACTTATCCTTCATTTTTAATCCGTGAGGATGTGTGCTCCATTCTCGTACTTATGAAGCATTTCTAATTCCACCATTATTATATCTTTTTCTCAAATTATTATTGCCTGAAATATGTTTTGTAGAGTACATCTAACATATAATCTACTTTTCTACATTCTATATTCTCAAATAACTATCCACAAATATCAATATAAATATGAAATTGCTCAAATCATATTTACAATATTTAATACAAAAATATATGTAAATTATTTTTAAATGAAAAAAAAATTAATTAAATGATAGTTTTATTATTTTTCTGCATCAGAACGCTATTATTTTAGAATAATATTTATAATAATATAATATTTTATAATCATCATTTGAATATTATTATAATCATTATCTTTTTTTTATACATAAATTACTCATTACTTTCTTTTCATGTAATCTTATAATACAGTCAAAAGTCGTTAATCCGGACTCATTGGGACTTCGGCGATTCCGGATTATCGATTTTTCCGGGTTATAGATCATCAGTTTAAATCTGGTAAGATGGCATGTAGAAATTATAAAATTAAAAATATGAAACCGTAATTTATGAAATAAAGAACAATTATGATCTAAAGGATATCAAAATTTATATAAAAAAAAAAAGCTTAATATTTATTTGTTTACTTTATTAACCCTTTCGCGCCGACTGTCACGTCTACGTGCTCACCTCCCGACCGACACGCAGGCGTGCCAGAGCGTTTTCACGCTGAGCGTCGACTGTCACGTATTTGTGCCAGTCTCCTGGAACGTTTTTAAAACTATAATTTCTGCCACAAGATGGCACTGTATGTGCATATGATTTCAGATACATGTACATTAGACCTTCTACTCGAAATGAGAGAAGCATGACTCACATACACGTGTTTTTGATTATATAAACAAACGGGGAAATAAATGTTTCCGAATGGCGTGATTTATGACGTCTCTTTAAATCCCACTTTATTCGCACGTGGTAGTTGTTTATTGTAAGTAGAGAAGTTTTTTTTTTTTTTTTTTTTTTTTTTTTTTTTTTTGTGCTAAAGCGTTGGGTATTTTGGTTTGCAGTTCAGTTTTTAGAAAATAATTATATCTTGTTAGACGTGAATTCTTTCTGTTTTTACCATTGCGATGTCGAAGCGTTGAAAATGTTTAACAGAGCATGAAATAGCAGAAATGATGCAAAATATTTCAGATATTGATTCTGAAATTCTGGTATTGATTCTGAAAAATTAACTGAAAGACATTTTCCAAAACTTTGTTCAAAAGAGACTGATAAGAAAAATAAGTGACGATGCTTCGTTTGTTCAAATTCCTGGAAAAATCCTCCAAAACAGCAAATGAGTTATTACGAGTGCAAGGAACGTAACATAGGACTGTGTGTAGATCCCTGTTTTCAAATTTTTTTCATACGAAAAGAGAATTTTAAGTAATATATTTAGTTTTCAGATGTATAATGTTAAAAGTCGTAAAATGGTGAGTAATGAAAATAAAATGTGTAAAATATGCATTTAAACAAGAAATAAGGTAATTAAAGTATATAGTATAAAAATATCTATAAAGCATAAGCCGTTTAAATACCCTATAGAGCATTATTAAACAGTGTGTTGATACTTCGGAAATTTCATGGATTTAGGCTTAGTAGGAAAATGCCCGGCCCTGGACAGACGCTCGCGTAAGACACTGCCGGCCTCCGCGATAAGCGCCTGTTTGCGTTACCCGGCGCGAAGGGGGTTAAACATTTCTTTCAATGTAAGTTGTTTAACTTGCTTTGTTTTATCTGATAATACTTTCTCTTTAATTCTCTAAACAGACATAATTTCTTCTTCAGTTACAAAGTTCCTCTGTTTCAAGTCCTATAATTGCTGTGTCGAGAATACCGACTAATTTGTCAAACGAAATTTCTTTGTTTCAATAACCTCTTCACTATTGGAAGCGAATTATAATGATGAGGAATTTGATTTAAATCATATCAAAGACGGAGTACATCGAGATGAAATTCTACATTTAGTAAGGAATTATAAGCCAAATAAAATAAAAACATCTGTCCTGAAGATAAGGATAGTGCTGACAGATCAACTTCCAATTCATTGCGTGCCACGGCATTTCCCCCTTCCCCCCCCACCGCAGAGCAGCATGAAATTGATAAACAGGTTTCGAAATGGTTAGAGAAACAAAGGATATGCCTTTATCCATTTTTTGCAGCAATTCCACTTTTTGTTTAATGGACTTCGAAACATACTTTCGCTTTGTAGATCCTTTACATATTAGTAAAATATATATCGGAAATTCTATTTGACATAATTGAAAGTTCAAGCTTACTTTCATAAAATTGCTCTAAGAGTCTGCAAAAAATAATAAGCCGGATCCAATTCGAAGATTAAGGAACAATGCAATCTGCAACATTAACTGAATTAGATAACTTTAATGTATAACGGATGGTATAAGCTAAGCTAAACGCGCATGCGTAAATGTATTATGTGCATGCGCACACACATATGCACAGATGTAAATGTCTTACGCGCATGCGTCAAAGCGACGCATGCGCAGAAAGTTTGTAGCTTTGAGGTCCGGATTATGGGTGTCCGAATTAACGACTTTTGACTGTATTTTCAATCTAATTAATACAGAATTCTGTAAAATTTAATAATAAAAAAATTCCGAAATTTAGGAAAAATAAATTCAATAAATATATTAGAAAAATTTGTTAATATTTCATAAAATGTTATCAAATATTTCTGCTTTCTGATAAATTATAACATTTTTACACATTTTAAATTTGAAAATGACTACATTTAATTTGTAGAATACAAAAAATGAAGATAGGAAAATCTAATGAAAAATTCTGCACAAGGGTTGAAAAAATTAAACTTAACACAAGGATATATGGGGTAAATATGACCCCATAATATTTAAAGTTATTATTTAGCAAAAAAATAAACTTGAAGTTTGATCTGAAATAAAAAACATGACTTTGATGATAACTACTGAAAAAAATGAAGTGACAGTGAATCATGGTTTAAGAGTATTTCTTTTTATGAAGGTGGTGGCAAATAGACCCCACACATGTGCTCACAGGGTAAAACTTTACAATCTATTCATCTAATTAAATTTTTATATAATTTTAAAATTTAGAATAACCAGTAAGAATAATTTCAGGGTTTTTAAAATATCTAGTTTCAGAAATATTTTTCATTACTACAAGATACTTGTCTCTTTTTAGATGGTGTGAAGTGCAAGATTTATGTCCAATTCAGCACAATTTTTCTAGTTACATGGAAACCATGAATAATGATTCTGACATGGTTATGGATGGCTATAAATCTTCCACATTGTAAAAGATTAAGGTAAATGATTATATGATTCGTATTCTGTTATACTACTTTAACTTCTTAAACTTTCCTAGCATAAAATATTGAGACACTTTTTAAAATCTGAGAAATCACAGCTAAAATATAATATAAATAAAAAAAAATTTATTAACTTATATACAGATTTGAAAGGCACTTTTTTATCTGTGTAAATACATAAATACAAATGAAACCACTAAATACAAAAGTCATATAAAATAGACTAGTATTACAATACAGTGAATGAATTATGATGTTTCACAACTAAATATGAACCAAAACACCTGGAAGTAATTAATCACATGTATCTGCATATTTGGCTATAAAGGTATAATGTATCATCACTGAATTCATTCTGAAAGAAATAAGAATAATTACAAAAATGAAAAACTATAAAAGTTAAATAAAATGTGAATAACTCATTCTAACAGTTTACAATATTTATATAAAGAAACTAAATTAAAATAGTTTAAAGTTTTCTAAAATTTACTACTGTTTTCAAAATAAAAACTTTTTAGATTTAAAGCTCTACTTACATCCAAAACAGCGATTACAGTTTAATGTGACTGACAAATAGCATTACATAATCTTATTGGATTACAGAAAAACGATTAACTTTTGCACAAAAAGCCCAGCTAGATAAACCATCTTTTATTGTAATCATTCATTTACTTTCTGTTATCAGTTTGACAGCAAATTTCTAGAATTACTTTGAGAAAAGGATTTTTTCTCCTGCAAGATAACGACTTTTCACCTTCTATGCAAGAAAAGTGGGACTGGACTGGTTTTAATTAGTTGAGAAAAATAAGTAATAATAAATAAATTTTAAAAAAATGCAATTCCAACTACTGTAGGATAAAGATGAGGTAGACGAAAAAAGGAAGAAATTCCAACACTCAGATTCAGAAAATGCCATTCGGCAAAATTTTTTTTTAAAAAGCCCCCACTAGAATTAATTAAGAAACATAATTATATAATATACATTTATTGTAGTAATACATGCAAGCATTATTAGAAAAATTGGAAACAGCAGATAAAATCTACAGAAATATGTAGGTACTTTCTATATTTTATATGAATTATATAACAACTCAGAGAAGAACATAACCTCAAGGATTCACCTAAATTTTGAGTAAAGGATCCTAACCTTCCAGCATGTGCGTATGTGCAAAATTTATTACGACAAATTCAGTTTTTAATGCACATTTTTTGCATATCGAAGCTGAGACATCTGAAGGTCATTTCTATTCCCCCTTTCTACCCTTCCCCACATCATGGAATGTGCCAACAGGAAGCCATTTGACTTTTTTTTAATGGGCTTTTGTGCTATGTGGAAGCTTTTTTATAAAAGTTACGACACTAGCGTGGTCATGTTTTAAAATTCGGAAAATATTTTTTTTCTCAAGTATTTTGTAATTTTCTGTTATTAATTGCAGTGTATTATTCTATTTTGAATATTTGGCTCTGTAAATTTTATATCGGTTTTCATGGCAAAAAAATATGTGCAATCAGCTGATTTTGCTCGGATCCTTCAAGAATTACCTGATGAAGAAAAGGAAACCTTTGGATGGGAAAACAATAGTGATTTCCGTTCCTTATTTTCTTTTATTTCTATTTTTAGAAATAAATAAAAACATTAAAGTTAATTTAAAGTGTGTTTTTGTAACCAGTAAGAAATAAATTCCCTTGCAGAAATAAGTAATGCTAAACTTACTTTTTTTCCTATTAAGGTGTTTCTTTTTTATTGTCTATACTTGTCTTTGATGAATATTAAAATTAGCTTCGATTTTAGAATATAATTATTAAATAATAAATTTAAAATTTTCTATAATGAAATACATCATTGCATTTCCATCTCACTAACATAAGATTGTGTTGAGTTATGGCAAAGCACACGAGGACTATCTGCCTAAGGGAAGGAATGCCTTCGTGGAGGACTTTCTAAGGGGAACTGACTCATATACACCAACATAAGAACTTAAAAATAATTTACTTATATATGAATGTGATATCATTTGTATTTTGCAATAATAAGATTAATATTTTATTTCTTAGCAAATTTGTTATCAATATTCACTCATTTATATAGTTTTTCATGCCAAAAACAGTAAAATAATGGATGTCGTAAAAAATACGACACGTGTGTGCTCATGTAAAATTGCCAAGCACACGTGCTGGAAGGTTAAAATAAAACTGTGAAGGAAAAGAAGGCATCTCTAAAAAATAAGTGAGAAAAATCTATGTTTAAGTTCATAATAATATTGTATTATGGAAATTCCCCTCTCTCTCGTAAGTGTCAGTATATTGATTGGTAGTATGCAATGAGAAGCCTTAGCTTGAATTCAGTTGCTGCCGACACTTTTTCTTTATCAGTGTTGTTAATTCTTTTAATGTTGTTACTTTCTTTTGAATGAAAATTAACACATGAAAAATATTTTTTAGGAATAACTTCACTATAGTAAAAATTTCACACATAAAAGTAATTTTCAATTTATTTTGATATAACTTCATATATTTACCTACGAATGATGTAAACCAGATGTTTTTCACTTTAATCTTCTTAAATTAGTAGCATTTTTCTTTATAGAGAGTAATTTATTTTATACTTGCATAATAAGTTTATAAAATAAATAAATAAAAAAAATATGCAATTGAAAAAAATCATATAAAGATGTAATGATTTTGATATGATTTGCGAAAATAATATATTTGCACTAGGTTTTTGCATCTGGACTCCATGTTGTTTTTCATATAAATTGTATTTTTTTACACTTTTTATTTTAAATTAAAAAAAACCTAATTTATTGTTCCCTTTCATTAACAGATTATCACTGTCTCAGTGTGACTGCATACATATGTAGGGCAGTTCACCGGAATGGACCTACAAATCCATATTGAAGTTGTCTGTGAAACAATTAGTCATTCAAATTTATCAAGTAATATAAATTTTCATTTCACTCATTTTATAACTGTACACTTTGAGAATTGCAAGTCTCACAAACATTATGTGAAATTTTCCTCCAATTCAGGAGACTTAAGAAATAAAATGACAATTACCTAGATGTATTATCCAAATAAAAGGAATATAAACCTGGAAGAGACAACTGCATCCTACTTTTTGTTTCATTTTCACTAGAAAATAGTACAGTAGGCGTAGCATCTGAGTTTTCAACTTCATGTACAAGTGATATGAAAACTACCTATATTTAAAAGATACAGACAAAAAAAGTCTTAAAACATAAAATATACCAAATTAATAATTATTCAGAAATATTGCATATACAATGCTTAGAAATTATGCAAATAAAAATATAAACAATCAATAAATTTAAATAAACATGAAAACTGTGAAATGAGAAAAATTACTAGTTTATACATTTCATTTATAAGAGACTGCTAGTTAATTTGAACGAAGTAAGCTAAATACCATAACAATAAAAAAAATCCTTCTACAAATATATGCACTATTTTCAATTTATAGAAAACAAAAAATACTTCAACAGCTTCATGTCAGTAATAATATAAAATGAGATCTAGAAATGCATAAAAGCCCTTTGATTACTAGCTATATGTCAGCAGATATAAATCGATTGTCCCAGTTTTGGGAGTTTTTGCAGTTTTCTCCATGTATAAATGTGGACAAGAGCCAGTTTCTCTTATAAAATCATCTATGAAGGCATCCCTTGCCTTAGGCAGATAGCCCTTGCACTTTATCACTTGGCAAATGGCCATTTGCACTTTGTCCTTAGGAAGGACAGCACTTGTGCTTGTGTCAAATAAACATTATCTATTACTTTGATAGAACATGATTATAGTAGAATTGCTGTCACAGTTCACAATATTGTCATGTGAATACTGTGCATGCTAAGAATTTCCACATGCACCGAGGTGTTAATGTATGTGCCTGCTTATCATCATTGCATTCAGGCTTAAAATAGCAATACCATTGCTCAAGACAGAGAACCACATTAAGTCATTCAAATATTCCAGCCTCTAGGCATATTAAAACAACATTGCTCAGTTAGTATACTTAAATCATCTAGGCAAACAGATTGTGCTGGAGATAGTTTTTCATTTGAAAGCAGACAGTGCAGAAAACACTGGACGCACTCCTTGGAAGCATCTCTGGCATGGCAATTACATAGATCATAAAGAATTCTCATTACTGAATGAATGAAGAGTATGCCATGAAACTACATATGCCACACTGCAAATGCCACACAGCTGTGCACCAATGGCCCTTGGTTTGATATGCCTAGATTTTTGGGTATTGGAATGATTCAAGCCCTCTATCTGCAATGTACCTTAGTCACTCACGGCATAAACATTAAAATCTTAATATTTGTGGAAATCTTTAAATGAAGCATAATATGTATTACATATGACAAATATCAAATATTATAGAAATTCATGCAGAACTACGCTTGTATCAAAGCAATGCATTCCGTAATCAAAACTTTTATCTAATGACACATAACTGGTACAATTCTTGGCATAACTGCATTTCTAGATGTGGATTCATAATAATTCACAGAAGATGCTGTACAAATTTAATTGACCATTTCTATATTGCTTTCACACAAAATTAATATCTTAACTTTTCAAAATTTTGTAAATAGTAATGCAATCATGTCCATTTGAATAAATACGCTCATTTTTTAAGATACACCTATACAGCTTGAGATCTCTCATACTAAATAAAAGGAGGGCTTCCCTTTGCACCTAGTACATTTTCAGTGTGGTGTGAAAACTGCCCATGATGAATAAGGTTAAATATTGTCTGTTACCTCTACTGTGGTCACAAGTAAATAAATAGCTTTTCATACAGTTTTAATGAAAATATCAGAGCTCAGTTTCTTGCAAAAAGGCATGGTTATCAAGAGTGTTCAATTAATAAAAAGGCTACATTTATGGTAACAGAAACAGTAACAAATCTGGCTACCAACTGGAAAAAAAAGAGCATTGTGCTTAAATGTTAAAACTTCAGAAGACACCAGGATTAAGCCAAAAATATAAAAACATTTCAAAGCAAGTAACATTAAACTAAATATCAGCAGAGATCTCATTTTCAAGAGGAAGAGTTCATTCTTAGCTTTACAAATCAAATATTTATGGCCAAAATAAGCAAAACACAAATTACTGATTACTTAGTGAGAGTGCATTCAGAATCATACATGATAGCTTTGAGAGCATCCAAATTCGAATTTCGATAGTTAAAAACTCAAATTTAGCAATGGAAATTGTCATACATCTTGCTTTCCAACTGCAGAAAACACTTAGCATGGGTATTTTCAAAACAAACTTACAATCCTCACTGCTTGGTTCTAACTGTGAAGAATATTGGTGAAGTCTTTTACACTGTAATGGTCTTAAATAGTCATTCTAAAGAATAAATAAACTTAAATAAATCTGAGCAATCTCTAGGTTTGTGGGCACTCAATAGTATAGAAAACATTTCCTGATATTTACCCCCATATGCTTGTGTATAAAGATTTCTGTATTACGTTCATAAAGCATACTACATCTCAAATTGGTTTGATAAGAATGAAATAAAACAGCTACACAGCTAACCACCTTAAAATCATAAAAATATGGAAGCCATTTCAGTAGCAAGTGAAAGCATGATTTTTTTTTTTTTTTTTTTTTCCATTTCAAACATTTGTAGAAGTAAAGGAGATTTTTTTAAAAGAATGGCTTAAAATAGCTATTTCCTGTGAAAGACTGTCATTCATCTATTTCATATCCAATTGCTAACATTCAGAATGCTAATTGAAGGACCAAATAATAAGGATAGCGACACAAACATCTGGTGTTTTATTAATTCATTTATAAATGATAGTTGTTTCTGTGTAAATATTAAAACAATAAGACAAACAATCTATAGATGATGTAGAATCAAGTTATTAATTCTACATCATCTATATAGATATAATAACTCAAATGGTTCTAAATTATAAATTTTCCATGAAATTTTTTAAATGTACTCGGCACAAAAACTTTCATTAAAAACTTACCAATATATAAATATTACAATAAAAGATTTTCTAATATGCAGTAGAATAACACATATTGAAATTATATTTTTCTTCTGAAATATACATACCCCAGAATCGGATGAAATAGACCACTGTAGTTCAATTGGACATCTCTCACATAAGATGGGAATAACTGATTTCTCACAAGCACCAATTAATAATTTCCCTTTTATACCATATTCAGATGCTATAATGTCTTCTACCAAAATAGTATCATTTAAAAGATTCCTGAAAGACATGAAATATGATATTAAAGAACAATATCTGCAAAAACTTTTTTTTAATGAAGAACAATTGTTTAAAATCTAGTATTTTCTGATTATCCACACCCAGGGTTTCAGCATTCAATAGAATTGGCATATTTTCGAGTATTCACACAGCAACTGCTAACCCACGCATGCTGGTACAATACAAATAGATTTACAAGATTAACATTTAATTCCCATTTTGCTTACTACTGACAAGTGCATTTTTCTATAATGAATTGTAAATACTGTTACAGAGTTTACAGGCTGATGAGACAAAGTAATGGATTTTTTTAAAAAATATATTTTGGCCAACATTACAGAATACAAATATTTACATTCTATAAAGTTATAACTGACCAAATTTCGTGGAATTTTGAAGAAAAGCACAGCATCATGTTTTGACCTATCTCTCTGAATTTATTCAAAGGAATATCAAGCAAACAAAAGAGAAAGACTATTTCAAATAAATTTTGAAAGCCACAGCTGAACACTACCAACTGGCTGTAAAAATTTAATACTGACCGTATTGTATGTTTTTGTTTTTCTCATAAAATGCTTTTTTACTATTATTTATGGGTAAAAAGTAATAACTATGTTTAAGACACAATAACACGCCGAATAAATACTAATTCAGAAGTCAAATAACAAAAATCGGTGTTATATTTTCAAAATTTTCACAGGACTAGTTTCGATGGTTTTACCGAACCACCATCCTCAGCTGCAAAACTGCAAATGAACAAGATAGGAAATAATGATTAGATAAGATAAGAAATCCTGGACAAGAAATAAGCAAGTGGCACCATCTGTTGGTGAAACTAGAATTAAAACATAATTTCTTTAAAGGCCGAAGGCAAAGATGGATTGGAATTAGAATCGTTAACTAGAACAGAAAGATTTTCTTGAATGTGAAATGCCTATAGAAAATCCAGTTTTCCAATGGAAGATGTTTTTTCAATAATTTTTGCAGCAGAAAAATTGAAAGTGTGATTTTCGGACCAACAATGTTGAGCAACAGAAGACTTCTGTGTTTCCTTTTTTCTAACATATGCCTCATGTTCCTTGACCCGAAAATTTAAGGCTCTCCTAGTTTGGCCAATGTAAATCAAACCACACTGGCAAGGAATCCTATAAATACCCCAAGAATTCATATCCGGAATGGGGTCCTTGAGTATGGAACTCGGAATTTTATTGCTGGGACAACAAACAACCCGAAAGTTAAATTTCTGCAAAATATGTGCAACTTTATAGCTAATTGATCGAAAGAAGGGAATGACAACAGAATTTTTATAATCTCCTAAAACAAGAGTGTGCCTTTTAGTGTGTTGAGATGAGAATTTTTTAACTGCTTGATTAATAATGTTGGGTGAAAAGCCCCTGTCAATAGCTATTGCTTTTAAATAATGTAGTTCTTCATCAAGGGCTAGTTTGGAGGAGCAAACTTGAACAGCATGGAAAACATATGAATAAAATAAAGCCAACTTTTGTTTAGTCGGATGACGTGATTTAAAGTGTGGTGGAAGGTAAACCGATAAAGGTATACGGTAAACCATAGCACTGAAGTTGGATGTGTAACGTGTGACCAGAATGTCGAGAAACAGAACAGTATTGCAAGTCTCAAGTTGAAAAGTGAACTGAATATCAGGATCAATAGAATTCATTGTTGAAAAACTTTATTACCTTTAAACAGGATAAAAGTATCGTCTACGTAGCGGAGCCATGCCGGGAAGTTTAAAGTTTCAAACAATTTTGACTCATAATAATGCATGTAGATATCAGCCAGGATGGGACTGAGGGGGCTTCCCATGGCTAATCGCACAGGGAAAGCCCCCTCAGACAGATATCAGCCCCTCATCCTGGCTGATATCTGTCTACATGCATTATTATGAGTCAAAATTGTTTGAAACTTTAAACTTCCCGGCATGGCTCCGCTACGTAGACGATACTTTTATCCTGTTTAAAGGTAATAAAGTTTTTCAACAATGAATTCTATTGATCCTGATATTCAGTTCACTTTTCAACTTGAGACTTGCAATACTGTTCTGTTTCTCGACATTCTGCTCACACGTTACACATCCAACTTCAGTACTATGGTTTACCGTATACCTTTATCGGTTTGCCTTCCACCACACTTTAAATCACGTCATCCGACTAAACAAAAGTTGGCTTCATTTTATTCCTATGTTTTCCGTGCTCTTCAAGTTTGCTCCTCCAAACTAGCCCTTGATGAAGAACTAAATTATTTAAAAGCAGTAGCTATTGACAGGGGCTTTTCACCCAACATTATTAATCAAGCAGTTAAAAAAATTCTCATCTCAACACACTAAAAGGCACACTCTTGTTTTAGGGGATTATAAAAATTCTGTTGTCATTCCCTTCTTTCGATCAATTAGCTATAAAGTTGCACATATTTTGCAGAAATTTAACTTTCGGGTTGTTTGTTGTCCCAGCAATAAAATTCCGAGTTCCATACTCAAGGACCCCATTCCGGATATGAATTCTTGGGGTATTTATAGGATTCCTTGCCAGTGTGGTTTGATTTACATTGGCCAAACTAGGAGAGCCTTAAATTTTCGGGTCAAGGAACATGAGGCATATGTTAGAAAAAAGGAAACACAGAAGTCTTCTGTTGCTCAACATTGTTGGTCCAAAAATCACACTTTCAATTTTTCTGCTGCCAAAATTATTGAAAAAACATCTTCCATTGGAGAACTGGATTTTCTAGAGGCATTTCACATTCAAAAAAATCTTTCTGTTCCAGTTAACGATCCTAATTCCAATCCATCTTTGCCTTCGGCCTTTAAAGAAATTATGTTTTAGTTCTAGTTTCACCAACAGATGGCGCCACTTGCTTATTCTTGTCCATGTTTTCTTATCTTATCTAATCATTATTTTCTATCTTGTTCATTTGCAGTTTTGCAGCTGAGAATGGTGGTTCGGTAAAACCATCGAAACTAGTCCTGTGAAAATTTTGAAAATATAACGCTGATTTTTGTTGTTTGACTTCTGAATTAATAACTATGTATTGAACATTAAATACAATAACAATTTCTTTTAACTCACAAAGTCACCAATGTGTTGATATTCGAGAATCATGAACGTACACAAAAGAAAAAGCATTTTCATCCTATCAATATTTGACACCTAAAATGTCAAATCATATACAGGGCTGGGACTAAGCTTTTTGCTGTCTTATGCAAACTTTGGGTGTCCTAAATTCGTCCATCGTGCAGTTGCTTAGACTCTGGCAATGATCCTGATGAAACATAACAATACAACTGAAATATATACAGTTCAATAACAGATACATTTTTTAAATAAATAAGTTTTCTATAGAAAATTTTACACCTGCTGATATATGGGGTAGCTACTGATATACTGTGAAAAATCTACTGGTGCCATTTGGAAATAAAATACATTTCCAATGTCAGCTAATGGATAAAAAGTTCTTTTTTAAATTTCTGACCAATGCCATTTGGGATTTGCATTCCAAAATTGCATTAGAATATTACTCTTCATAGTTTGTGTCTGTGCCCATATGAACTATGATAAATACAAAGGCAAATGATCTCTCAAAACTATATTATTATTATAATTATTCTACCACTCTGCCAGCTATTGTTGACATTACATTTCCATCATATATATTCTATCATTACAATTTTCAATGGATGAGGATTAGAACATTCATGATTTTACTACAAGTACTATATGCCAAGAAATAATGGATTGCTTCTGCTTTAGTAAATGCATGATGCAAAATGCACTAAAAATTAATATAAGATGAGCCAATGTTCTTGTGAGAATTTTTCACGAGAAAAGGATTACCAAAAAATTAATGAACACAAATGTGCACTTGTTCTATTTGATATTAAATTTTAAAAAAGGAGTAATCTCCACCCTCCCTTATAACACCTAAAAGAGAAAGAACATTCACAAAAGAAAAAGAAAAATAAACAAACTCCTCTTCTAGAAGAATTCATAATAGCTTCTATTGTTGCCAGACACTCACAGGAATGAGTCAGGGGAAGAGCTTTTTCCAAAGTATCATGAGATAGCAGCTAATATACAAGTACTTGAAAGTAGCAGCATGCATAATACCATTTTAACAGATAATTAAACAGAAAGTTCATAAGTTCTCTAAAATTTGTCATTTCTGGCTACAAATCTACATTATGATATTTCTTATTACATTTTCCTTTCTGTGTGCACTGCATAGTTATTATAACTGCACCAAATAAGATGGGCTATTGCAGTACACTCTGGACTTGACATAACCCCAAAGCCAAAAATCCAGTGGTGCTAAGTTTGTCAAATGAGGGGGGCACTTATTTCTACAGTGACAGCTAATTAATTGCTCTTCGGTGAAAGTTCTTAGGAACGTCTTCATTTCAGTTGTGATATGAGGAGATGCCCCCATCTTGCATTAACATCATTGTGTCAAGGATATTATGTTCCAGTAAAATCCGTATCACTTTCTCCTGCAGCAGTTGCAAGTAGCGTTTTCCAGTAATTCAGCAGATCTTTCAGCCAGCTTTTGCACAGTGCTCTTCAAAGTAAAAAGGGCTCACAATAATGGACATAGTAAAACCACACCAAACAGTTACATGCAGTGAATGTAAGAGGCTCCTCAGTATAGGCAAATTGGTTCTCCTTTGTCCAGATTCTAGAGTTATGGGTATTGACTGTTCCATGCAATGAAAAATGAGCCTAATGTGTGCACAAGGTACTGAGAAGCTATTGTAGATTGTCATCAATGTTCGGCAAAGCCCAACTGGCAAATTCATATCACTTAGCTTTGTCATTTGATAAGAGCTGGTGAACAGATTGAAACTTGTAAGGGAATAATTTTAAAACACCGTAAAGGATGAGGAATACTGATCTCTTTCGTATACCAGTGTTCTGTGCCTCTTCTCATGCACTACTTACTACATTCATTGACTGTTCCCTTTACAGTGTTAATCTGCAAAGCTAAATCGTAAGTACAGACATCTGATAAACTTGGTGCACTACTATGAAGGCGATCACACAAACTTCTTTCTTTGAAACATCATATCAGGAAGTCAGACCAGCAAGAATGATTGGATCTGAACCATTCTTCCATCCCTTCCGTGTCTGCAACCTTCGTAAAGCTTCAGTCAGCGATTTTTGGCTAAGGTATAACAGCTTTACTAATAAGGCTTTATCCAATGATGTATCAAAATTAAAACTTTATGTAGGAACAAGTAGGAGGAAAATCAGAAATAAGCCATTAATCATAAAACCTGCTATAGACCACTGATTTACATATTTCTTGTTACAGCATCTGTACCTCTATCGATGAAAATTTTAACTATTTATTTTTCTTTACCAAAAAAAATTCCCCTTCATGAGAATAACTTTTTTGCAAACCACATTTAATTCTACCAGTTCCTTAAATTTTTATGAATTTTAAAAATATTTACAGGCTTATGAGACATCCTGTATATATTACAGAGAAAAGTTTCAAGTAATAATGACAAATACGCACTACACATTACCATTATTCATATCATACACTAATACTCACAATAATACTAAAAGTGGACATACTACTATTTGTCTTAAACCATAAAAAACTCCACATATTTTTCTGGTAAAGTACGTTATCAAAATTCAAATTTTGGTAGCTTACTCTTCATACAACAATTCATTATTTTGCCCATTCTCATTTTTCTCACAGCAAATATTATTTGGCTTCTCTGTTGATACAGTAGAATCTTTCCTTTCCAATCTGACATATGGAATTTCTTTTGCTTTTAAATTCATTGACCTGGAACAGGAAAAAAAAAATTAGCAACTGAAAATAAACATAAGATATATATTCAATATGCAAGATACAATGACTAATACTTTAAAAAATTTCACAATTTTTGAAATTAATCTGTAAAACTCTAGACTGAAACTACAAAATTTTGCAAATTCAGCCAACTCAATTATAAGTCCACCTAAATCTCATAATAGAAAATCATCTTCTAAAACTCAGCCACATAATTATATTCACATATTAGATGTTATAAGCAGGATTTCATGTAACATGCCTTTATAACTTTTGCAAGTGTCCGATTTGCATAATTTTATGCAGTAAAAAAATCTAAAATTCTAAAATATTCTGGTTACTTGAGCTTTCTAATTAACATTCATGATCAAATGTGACTTAAATGATTTTTTAAATCTAAGCTATTAGTTATGGATAGGGCATTTGCTTAATGTCATAAACTTGTCCAAACTGCTAAAGTAAGAAATATTCAGCAGCTATATTCAAGTAAAAAAAAAATTTTTTTTCTGGATCATTTTTCCTGCCATAAAACAAATATTAAGGGAGGTGGAATAAGTTGGATGTCTATTAGTTGAAGATTCGTAAATTTTCTAATTAATTTTTGCATAAAATGTAAAACACAAGTTTTTTTTTCCTGACATTCTATTCTTTTACTGGCTCATGGGCCTATTTCATATTCTTAGTTTGATTAATAGCCCTTTATCAGTGAAGATACCTCCTTCTTCTGTACGCTTTTTAGACCATTGGCCAGGAAGAAATTAATTTTTTCCGTTTGTTAAAAAATTTTTTTTCAATAAGAAACTAGTCTCTGATGACAACTTGAGCTAACAGTAAGATTATTTCACCAGCTCAGCCATTTTGTTTCAAATTTTTTAAACAAGTAAGATAATCTTAATTTCCTTTCTGGCACTGAACCTTAAATCCCTACTTTTGATGCAACATATTAATACAAAAGAATGTATAAATTTGTATTTAAAAGCTTTACATTTATTTTATTTTGCATTTGGATCTAACAGAATGCATTAATTGGTATTAAATGACTACATATTCATTTGAACATTTTGCTACTGCTTTCTAATTTCTTCTGTATGTATTAATTTTTACAAGTTTTGGTAATTTTTTATTGTTTTTATAATACTGTGAGAGTGTCACGGAATGTTTTTTTCTAAAGTGAGGATGTCGTTTTACTAGTTTAATTCTGCTGTTAACAAGAACCTTAAGTTAAGAATTTCTCACTAATTTTTCTTTTAGTTTTGGTTTATGACAAGTCTTTTGGTTCAAGCAGACTAATATCTTTCTAATTTTTAAGTTTTGCTTGTAGCTTATGATTTAACTCTAGCAAATTACTAATTTCATCCTTACTAGGAAAAAAGACAAAACACACATTTGGTTATTGTTAACTGATAGTGGATTGGTTTGTTACCCTTGAAAAGTCAATCTATATTCATTGACAATAGCTACCTTTTCAATATTTTGATTTTTAATTTTACTTTTTAGAATTTTTACAGTTCAAAATATTATTTCTTTATAGTTTTAAAAAAAATCAAAAATTTTTATTGTAATAGAAATTTTAATAACTTTACAATACTAAAATTTATTTCAATAATTCATCCCTTTAATTAAATTTATATCCTTGGAGATGATATATGAAAAACCTTTCTAATACATACAGAGAAAGTCAAATCCTGGCTCAGCCCCTTAATGCTTTTCATAGTGGAATATATTTTCTCTTGCCTATCACACTCTGACTGTGTGTGTGTGTTTGCATGTGTATGTTTACAAATTACGTCAGCAAACAGTTACAGAGTAGTTACTGTTTTTCTAGAGAAAATCGTAGAAATAATTATTATTCAAATTATGGCAAAGTCCTTGTGAGCTTTGCCTAAATGGAGAGATGCCTTTGTAGACGGCCTCCAATAAACTGGCTTGTATTCAAGTTACACATAACAAAAACTCTTAAGACTCCTATGCAGCCAACTCTGCCTAGATTTGAATTTGGGTCAAGCTACTAGTCTTCACGGGTGTCACTGCTTAGCTACCGGTGGCCCACAAATTGTGGAACAAATTTATTGAGGGCTGAATGAATATAATGAAAGTTATCATTACTTAATATCTCTCTCATCAGGACAAAGTATCTATGGTAGGGCTGATCCATTCTGTGATAACATATTTAGAATTTAGGTCTCATATATCCTAAGAATATATGCTAAATCGATCTGCATATATAACACTAAATTATGAATATTAAAGAGTTAAATTAATGTAAAATAACACTATAATAAAAGAGAAGTTTCAACTGTAGCTTTCAAGAGACACCTCACTGGCAAAGCCATATCAATTAATAAGTACATTTCATACAGTACAAAACGTTTTCTCTTCCACCTTTAGCAAATTCAGCTCCAAAGCTTCCAGTAAAGAACTGTATCAGAAAAGCAATATATCATGAGCTGTTTGAGAAAGACAGTGTGACAAAAGATGCCTAAGTAATGAAGATTCAAAACCAGGATACTGCACCATTACTACACATCAGTTCAATCATTCTCTTTATCTGTTAAGTCAGCATTTCTAAAACTGTGGTCTCTGAAGTCCCTATAGTCCTCCTAGATTTCCAGAAAAGACAAAAAATAAAATTTAATAGCATAGCTGAAACAACACTACATCTGAAAGATAATCTCAGAGTTTGCAAATTACACCTGGCAATAGTCTATCATGTTCCCCCAAGACTAATATTTTATAAAATTTATTACAGTTACTCTATCAACAGACTTTCCACTCAAGTCTTAGCTTCAAAAGAGGGACTTTAAACACTACAACTGTGGGTTTCACCTTTATTCCCTGCAAATCTGGCACTGCTGTCCTCTTTACCAGTGAAAACAAAATGTAATATACTGTGCAATTGTGCTTTAAAATTATAACTCAATTTACCTCTGCATATCTTTGGAAGAAAAAGTTTTCATCGCCAGCTCAAAAAATAAATAAATAAATAAATAAAAGATGTGCGGAAATGAGCTTGATGTATTTGTTGATCTCAGACTTCTGAAATAATCCAGAGAGTTATATTAAACTCCTTTGTTCCATTCATTAGCTTACCAGCATACATCCAAACACAGAACAGCTAAACAAGAAATGGCATGCTCATTTAATTATGATGAATACCAACATTTAATTTGTAGTTAATAAGATAAAGGTTGTCTAAATGCTAATAGCCTTGAATTATTAAAAACACATATAAACTTTTTTTCATTAACTGAATTATTGAGAAAACATTAAATAAACTGTAATGAACTATGTTTTAAAAATATAAGTATATTAATAGTAACAGATGCTATGCTTTCAAAGAGAAAAAGAAGGTAGTATGCAGAATATTCTAATTTATCAGAGTGGTCACACTTGGAAAAAAAGTTTGAGAAATGCTATGTTAAGTTAAACTAAACCATGAGATGAATCACTGGCCTTCCATCAGTGGCTTAGAGAGTTAGTCCTTTAACATTTGAAGTAGTAATACTTTCAATAAAATGTCAGAAAGCATTATAGGAAAAATTATTTTACCTTTTTTGAAATATTTTACCTTTACATGCTATTCAAGCAGCATAGTTGGATTTTCACATGATCTGGATGTGCTCATGTTGTATCAAATCTATGTGAGGAAGGATTAGCTAATTTCATTTGTTCCCATAACTGCCTTATACATGTTAACTACCAACAGTAGGCCATAAGAAATTAAAATTTTCTAATGATTCTTACAAGCAAACTTTAATTTTTAATATTATATTTCTTATTTTAATTCAAGTTTATGAAAGAACTCTTGTAAAATATGAGAAACACGGCATATTGATGCAGTAATTCTGAGTTTAAACTACAGAGAAGAAAGCACTAAGAAGTGTCAGTCCCCATACAAGATAGCATTAAGGAGTGCACACCAGCAAGCTATGAAGGCTTTGAGACACTTTGTGACAATATGCTGATCAGCTGTCAGTATCAGAGTCATATAAACAGGACGACCTGTTGACTGTATCCTTTGGGATATTATGTTTTTGAAAGAAATAAGAAAATAATCATGAAAATTAGACCTACTCTATTTGTTCTTACTTTTACAAAAAATGAAACTTTTGTTTATAGTAAACTCCCTTGTTCCAGAGTGGAATATTATACAATTTCAAAACAATTAATGACACTAAAACTAAGAAACATTTTACTGGCTTACTGTTTTTCCTGAGAAAACTTATTCTAATAATTTATTTTTACATCCTCCATTAAATTACAAATCATTTACTTATTTATTGCATGAATACTTTTGATTTCCGCTCTTCATTCGATTTTCGCAAATTTATCAGAGCATATTATGCACACTGTAAACTCTGTCATGGTAATCACCTCCCTAAGATGATCACTTCTGAAAGTGACAAATTTTTCAAAGAACATAAAGTACTACTAAACCTCACCACTCTAAGATGACCTCTTACACATATGGCCAAAATCATCTGGTAAAGTGGGTTTTCATCTTAGAAAGGATTATAAGCTTTTCTTATACCTAATTTCCTTTGGTGAAATCCATGCCTCACATCTGAAATAACCCTAGCCTTGCAGCCAGCCTGATCTTCAGCTAGGGTTATTTCAGATGTTTGTTATCTGAAAATTTCTGTTTGTACCAAGAACTGCAATCTATCACAAAATGACATCAGTTTTGTATTACAGAACTCGAAGGAACATGTGTTATTCCACTAAACCAGTTCCAAGACACATTCCAGAAATAGAAAACTATATTTGGAACAATACATAAAAACAAAGGAGTAAAATGCTTGATAAAAATAAGTGTAATTACATCTTAAACATATCAAGACTTCTTTTTGGAATTATTTATTGCATATATGCCTCGAGTAAGTCACTGAGCTCATATCATAGTTGCCAATAAAACAAATAAATGTTGGACACATTAGGCTACTCCAGATTTAGTGTTTTTACTTCTAGCTAAAAGAATTTTTATTTTTATAACATTTCATTAATAAATGTACGGGAGAAACTTATTCAGTTTAAAATGGATGAAATTTATCTTTCTACAGTTTTAAAAATAAAGGAAAGAAATTACCTCTCACTAGAATTTGCTGAAATATTGACAGGTTTAGGAAGCAAGTACATGTTTAATAAATTCTCTTCATATTTAAAAACTGATAGCAGATCTGGAGCACTGGCAAAACGAGATATGCATGTACTTCGCTTAAAAGTTGCAATTTCTTTTACAGGAAGTGAAATATTGCTATTTGCAATATCTGAAGGTATTCCTGAAAGAAAATATCAAGAAGTTATATTACATTTTAAAGCAAGATTGATGGAATACAAAAGTACTAATAGGGATATGTCCTCAAGCAGATAAATATACATATATAGAGAGAAAGCACCTTAAAAATTAATTATTACACAAACAAGATATCAGCCTTTGGTAGCACATCTGCCACTATTCACAAAATATTTAAAAAGTACTATACTTACACACTTCGATACTTAAATATAATAAATGGTGGGAGTACCACCGTTGTATACTTGCAAGGACTTGGAAAATATCTAAACAATAAATACCACAAAAATATCATCTACATAATGCATCATAAAAATACACTGAATTATAATTCTTTCATTAGCACCATCATATATATCAAAACCTGAAGAGAGATGTCAGAAGTTTTGCCAAGTTGGAAATATTCAATGCAGACTGTTTCTGCTATCAAAGTATTTTGGATTTATTAGAAACAGCTTACAACCAAAAACGAACACATACCTAATGATCACATTTAAATTTACTTAAATGTAGTGCCTTTATTTGTTTCATCGAAGTCTAACACTTGAAGAGAAACAAAGCAACATATAACCAATGAAATTAAAATTTTCAAGTTGCCTTATTTCTTGAATTTTCTTTTAAGATTCATTAGTTATTGTTTTAACTGGTACACTTAAAATAACACAGCTTTCTTTCCGACTCTTTTTACATTTTCTCTATGATCTACTAGGAATTCACTTATTTACTATCAATTATTTCAATATATCATAAAATACTTAACTTCCAATATATTTATAGAATGTGTGATATGAATATACAAACATATATAACACTAGAAATATATCAAAATGTTATATTACTAGCTTTAAGCTAGAGGTTCTTGAGTAGTCACATTACCTACAGAACCTGCTGGAATTTTCTATCCCTCTTCTGAAATACAAAGCAGAACCCACCGAGCAGTAAAATCACTGAACACTGGTAGTTTATTCCCGCATTCAAATCCCAGTGGACGTGCTGGCTGCATGGATGTTTTCCTGGCTTTCCCCATGCATAATGTGTATATGAGCCAGTTTTCCCTAGAAAGTCCTTCATGAAGGCATCTCTTCCTTTAGCCCACCAGTTCTTATCATAATCAAATATACCAAACCAAACTGTAGAGATCTATGTTTGATTACTCTTGAAATTTATTTAAAAAATCTATGCAAAAATAAGATTACTTTATAGTTTAATTTTAAAATATACAGATTCTTTAAGTCAAAAATATGATACTTACTCATAAATTTTCTCGTTGGGTACCCTGGAAAACAGCCCTTTTTCTAGATAAATATGGATAAATTTTACTAAAACGTTTTTTTTTTAGTCTGTGTTGCCAACTAAACGTGCTGTTGGCTAAAGTGTCTTATCAGCTAATTGCTAAATGTTTGTGTCAGTAAAACGCCCTGTCAGCTAAATGTCCATGTCAGCTAAGTGCCCTGTTTGTCAAATGTCTGTGTTGGCTAACCGTTCATGTCGGCTAAATATACCTGTTCGCTAAGTGTCTCGTCAGCTAAATGGTTGCTTGTTAAGCATCATGGACCCATGTAAAATACCTGGATTCATTTGTGAACATAACATTGATTCCATTATAATCTGCTCTTGCATAATGTTCTTTTCCATTCCTGAGCATGTAACATGATCAAGCCACAGCGCAGAATACCTGGATTCATATGTGAACACAACTTTGCTCCAATATCGTCTGTTCCATGCATCCATGTGATACCAAACACATTTGCCAATGCAGCTTGGCATACTCTTGCCAAACACAACTGGGCTGATGTAAACAAGCCCAAGGAACACACACAAATGTTCCCTAGCAAACAGGCCTTGTATATGAAGCTTTCTTTTCTCCAGTAAAGAAAATAGCTGCCTTGTCTTAATGAAAATTTATGATCACTAAGCTGAGAATCAGTTTTTGTTTAACGTTTTAAAAATTTCATCATCATGTCTGATTTTTATTGAGATAGATGTTGACTAAAATATCGGGATACTAGTAAAGCACTAAACATTGATATGTACTTTTCAAAGCAGGCTTTCAAAAATATTCACAGGCCATACATCATTTTAATAACTTGTTAACAAACAGATGTCAAGAGCAGAATCTGATAGAAGAAACAAGTATTAGTAAACAAATACTATAATCAAGAATAAAATCTTCTTGCTCAAAGACTAAGCACAAAATTGAGTCAGCAACTAAGTACCTACGTAACTTATTCTGAAACATGATGTTTTAAGTTACAGCATTACATGCTCATGAAAACACATCCAGAAAAAAACGGCCACAGATTTAACTCCACAGCTAATGGAAATCAAGCATACAATTTAATGTACTGCAGAGTTTTCAACTACATTATTACAACGTAAATTTAGAACTCAGTTTTGCCATAGACAATTATAAGGTATTTCGGCCGCCTTCTTAGCATACTTTCATGGTGTAATGATCAGCACGCTCAGCACGTTTGATGTCCATGGTTCAAGTTTCTACGAAGGCATTGCTCATTTTTCACATCTCTCAGCATCAAAAATCCTAATATCTCTACAAACAAGTCTTCACCTTTCTAAATATAGAACTTAGTTTTGCCATATACTACAATGTTCCACTTTTCCTCCTCTACCTTGTTATACTTGTCAATTTCATATTCTTTTCCCTCTCCTCCATTCCCCTCAGCCACATCTCCCTCTATCCACCTTCCAGCCCACCAATCAAGACCAGTGAACAAAGCCATTCATACTATGTCAAATTTCTGGCAGCTGCACTGAATTTTCATATCTTTCTCATGAACCCGAGCCAGCTTCCATCACATAGCCTTCTACCATGGCATCCCATCTAGTACTAGTAGTAGCATCTCAAGTAGCCTCAGGGGGGGTACTTTTTTCACTCCTCCTCTTCTATAAGGTATCATCTTACCACTGAGAATGCTACTTGCTTAGTTTTTGTGCATGTACAGTAAATTAAAATATTAAATATATTTATAGTACTAAAAAAGGTCTTAAATATTTTCTTCTTTTCTGTAACTGACAAATCATAGAGATTTAAAGACCTATATTTTTATTTCCTTGTACGAAGTAAAGAAAGTATTTCAATCTTGAAAAATTTTGAGTATCATATTTCAACAAAATATAAATTTTGACCATTTCTATTTGGATTTTTTTTTTGGCACGACATCTTAATAGATGGACAGAATAAAGGTTGGATTTTCCAAAATAGATACTAAAATGGATTCAAAAGGGTATGTGTGTACATATGTATGTATGAGCCCTGCATTATTCAAAAATGATTAGCCATAGACATTGAAATTTTAAATGAGGCTGCTATAACATCTAGTTGTGCATCTCCCTTTTTTACAGCAGTTTGCAGAACTAAACATATACCATATATATATACATATACATCCAACCTCCTACCCGGCTTTTAAGTCCTTACCCAGCCACTATTTTCACAATCATTGGTGGTAGTCATATACTTCCAATTACAGAACTGTTTTATATGATGAAAATATTCATGTTTTGGCAAATTCAAAAAAATAAATCGATTATCGACAAATAACAAAATCTAACTTTTAATGCAGTCTTCCGGTTCCCATACTTATATTTGGAAAAGTTTTATACTCATTATTAAAAAATAAAATTAGAAGTTTGACTTCCAAATGACAAAAATTGACCAGAATATCTAATTTCAAAATTTGCAATTTCTGATGTCATTTTCAACTTGCCTTAAGAGACTGGTTGATTAAGTTAGAGTAATTTGAGGAAATAATTTTAAATGAAGTGCAACAAAAATGTGCATAATTTAATAGGCCGTACAAGGAAGTAGTGGTGTCTACATCAGATTTTCTGTTTAAGACAAGTGCTTGCAATTAGATGCGCCTATAACTTAGCATACTACATAATCACCAAGATTCATTTCATGATCACTATGGTCCTGCTTATAGAACCTACCATGTCCTATCAAGAAAGTGGAATAAAATAAAGCTGTTTCAGAAGCCTGGTAATTAATACTTTATTCATTCGTTTTTTTTGTGATCTTGCTTACTTTTGAACTCAGAGATTACTATGTCTTGCAAGATACTATACAATACCGAAATTGCATTTAATTTATAAAAAAAAAGTTACTCTTTGAAAAAGAATGGTAATGCAAAAACAAAATATTTCATGCAATATACTGGATAAAACTATGAAACATAAAACAATCATTGTAAAGGCTTGCACAAGTGAATGACAGCTGTTGTTCCTGAGACTGTGCACTTAGTAATATTTGCCTTTTTAAGTTGTTAATGGTGACTGGAAAAATGCCCACAGAGAAAAAGCTCACAGGAAAAATGCTCACAGAATAATGCTCACAGGTATAAAAGCTCACAGGAAAAAAGCCCACAAGGAAATATGCCCACGTAGAAAAAAGCTCACATGGAAAAATGCTCACTTAGAAATATGCTCACAGGGAAAAAAGCTCACATGAAATATGTTCTTTTCAGGGGCGGAAAATAAAAGCATGAAAACTGTAGTAAAATTTTACATGTACTATAATATTTTATACCACTGCCTCTGTATGACATTTTTTTCCTGTAACTGCCAATAATTATTGTTTCTTCACTCCATTTTTGATGTGAATCGATAGAAATTGCTGTTTGAATGTAGTTATTCAAATTTGGAACCACAAAAGTTGTAAAATTTCTGCAGAAATTTATGATTTTAGAAATAAAATTAACATTTTTAGGCACTTTGATGATACTTATCAGTTGAACATTATGAAGCAGCCTTCGAGAAATCTCCTAAAACCACAAATTGTTGCAAAGGCTCTCATAACGCACTAAATTCATTATTTAATTGTAGCCATCCCGGTGTCTGCTTTTTATTTGATAGGCAGAAAAAAGATTTAGCCTCTCAACGTTTGTTATTAGCTAATGTAAATACAGGATGTACTGAAGTAAAAAAAAAGAAAACACAAAAACTTGCATTTGGTAATCGTGAATCATGTAAGAAATTATGATGAAATTGATGATAAAATTATAAATATTTTACGTAATTTAAATAAAATAATCATTCTAAATTCTCATTCATTATTCATTATTCTTCTAAATGTTTATATTATAAAATGTGTAACTTATATTTATTACTTTTTTAACAATTAAAATTGGGATAATTTTTCACTGTATAATTCTGTTTCATATTTACTTCCTTTCTCCCCTCCTTTTCTTAGTTCAAAATGGCCCATTTGTTAATCTTATATAGAAACTGAATCTACACATAAGTTACAAAGTTTTTGAAATATATACCATAAATGTTTTGGTAATTTAAATAATTTTTCTTTAGAAAATTCAAGTAGGATCAAGAACGTTAATAATTAATTGATTTGAACGTAATCAATGGTTACGTTCAAATCAATTAATTATTAACTCATTAATGTAAGGATATTTCTCTGTGAATTATTTATCAGTGGGCTTCTTTCCATGTGAGCATATTTCTAAGTGAGCATTTTTCCATGTGAGCTTTTTTCTATGTGGGCATATTTCTGTGTGGGCTTTTTTCCTGTGAGCATTTATACCTGTGAGCATTATTCTGTGAGCATTATGCCTGTGGGCTTTTTTCCTAGAACCGTTGTTAACACTAGTAACCAAAAAATTAAAATACCTCAAAATTTTTATTAAAATCCCTTATGAATTCACTCTTTACTTCATACAGAAGTGCACACAAATTGCCCTAACCCAGTTCAAACTATTCTTTTTTCCCCAAATCAGATGCCACACCTGTAAGATTTTAATGATATTTTCCACAGTTTTTAATTCATTAATATTTTAAAAATTTTATCATCATGTCTGAATTTCATTGAGAAACCTGTTGTGTGACTACACAATACATGAGCAAAATAGCTGAACACCAACAACCTAATAATTACATCATTATCATTGTCACTAACAACAATTTTAATTAGTAACAAGGACCTTTACCGGAATTAAAGGTGCTGCTAATATTTGGGTTTACTGAGACGTCGACATCATCAACAGCTTCATCCTCACTGCCTTCTCCAATGCAAAGTACCTCACTACTATTATTTAAATCTTTTTTCATTTCTGCATGTTGTACGAAACATTCATTACAGGTCCGTATTTGTTTCCTATTAGGGAAAAAAATTTTCAGTATGGAGTTGGATCATAGTCATTTTTTATAAACATCGGAAATTTAAAACCTTTCATAAAGCTAAAAATAATACCTGCTAGATGGTGTTAGTAACCAGTTATTAGAGCAAGAATGACAGAAAATTCTTCCACAGAGACGGCAGTGGTGCTAGAAAACAAGTCTACTTTTATAATGTAATAAATATGCAAAATATAACAAATATTTTAGCACAAAGGCAAAAATGAAAGTTTTACTTTAAAATGGAGCATAAAATGAAACACAACCATATATATTCACTAATATTTTAAGCAATATATAAATAACAATACCACCAGGACATCTTGATATAAAAGATGGTCACATATCTGTTTACTAGATTTACCAGCTTCAGATGCATTCATTTGTTATGCACTTAAAATGCATTCATTTGTTATGATAAAAATGTATAATATCTTACAACAGAAATCATCTTGCAGTTACATTTCACAAAAGATAGCTTTTCCATAGCTAACTAACAGGGTTGCTATGAGTCATTGTACAAGTTGCTCATGGCTTGGTGACTGCTGAAGGCAGTAACATTTTAATTGCCTATCAGTATGCATGAAGAAAACTCTTTTTTTTTTTTTTTTTTTTTTGCATCATTTAAGTAACTCCTGAAATACAAATAAAAGTGTATGGTATTATCAACTGTAATATGGAATCTTGTTAATTTTATAATGTGAACCACAATACTGATATCACACATTATAAAATAGTCATTTGGCTGTTTTTTTAATGAAGTTTGGAAATAAAATTCTAAGTGTAATAATATTTACTAACATCAAAATATTGTGGTACATTGCTTTAGAAATTATTGTGCTGTTTATTGTTAATTTAAAAAATGTTCATCAATTAATTACCGAATCTGCCAGCGTATAAGACACACTTTTTTCTTTGAAAATAGGTCTGAAAAATGGGGTGTGTATTATATGTCGATACTGTGTCTTATATATTGATACTCAGAACATTCATTTCTGCAAATTTCCTCTATTCGAAGTTACGCAATTTTTATCCTTGTCAAAGCTTCATGGAATGAAGTAAAAACAGAGACAGTGGTTAAATCATTTAAGAAGTGTGGCATTAGTAATGCACTGGATAGTACAGAGGGCAATTTGTTATATGAGGCTCAGAGGCTGATTTAGAAGAGGTTTTAAGTGACTCTTCATTTAGCTCTGGAGATGAGTGTCTGGGTTTTGACAAAGAAGATTAAAAAGTGTTCTTTCCCAGGTAGATTGGGTATTTCCGGAATGTAACACTTTGTATTTATATTACTTTATATTTAAAATACTGTAAATTCATTATAATGGTCAGTAATAAAGTTTTATCCTTCAAAAAATGTGTATAAAAAAAAGGGGTGCATCTTATATGCCGGCAAATATGGTAATTTAGGTACCATGATGTTTCATGAAAATTAGCAAAAGATAGAAGTTACATTGAACTATAAATGTCATAGAAAGAATATAATAATAAAAAAACACCTAAATACTGTTTGCAGTCCAGTACAAGAAAAGAGTTAGCAAAACAAACAAGAATTAGCAGGTTTCTCATTTAAATTCTTCATTTTAGGCACTGCAGTTCATTAAATTTTAAAATAAAATAAATCAGATTTTAGATATTGTTATTTATCCTTTAAATGAGATAAGTATTTCAATACAGGAACAGTTTTCAGTGATATCTGAATGCAGAATAGAAAAGACTGAATGCTTAAGATACAAATGATATTTTAAAACACTCCATTTTTGCATTATTGGATGGCAATCCATCACCCATGCATGGTTTATATTGCTAAAGAAAACAATAAAATGTCCAAAATCATCCTTAACATGAATCAATTGAAACAAAGGGAAGAAGGAAACTACCTTTAAAGTCTACAAAAAATTAAATTTAAGCAACAATAAACTATTGCACAGAATGCAAACAGTCAGTCTGTAACAAATATTACTTTCATTGTAATTTTCCTCGAAAATAATATAACAGAATTTTTATTTTAATTTATTGTCTCTATTTTTCATGAGTTCTTGCAGCATGTTAAAACATAATGAGATGTGGAAGTATTTGTTGAAACAATCACAGGACAATTTGATAAAATGTGGCAGCTTGATCAAACCTGCACTAAAATTAAATCTTTAAAATTTCGGTTTCGGGGAGTTTAAAATTTAACTGACTTGATTTTTTGAATTTAAACAATTAGTTGAAAACCATTAATTTGATTTCTTTCGTTTCCAGTAACAAAAAAAAAAAAAAAAAAAAAAAAAAAAAAAAAAAAAAAAAAAAGACTCATATAATCTGCTGTATACTGAACTGAAGATGAATGGATAACTAAGAATGTTGGTTAGTGTGGAAGTGCAGGAAATAAATAAAAAAATATACACAGCTGTTGACAATTCCCACAGTTACTAAAATGCGCATGAACAAAAATAAAATTTTACTCTGTAACTGGCTCAATAACAGACATGCATAATTAATGCTGTTTAATGTCCAGCACTGTAAAAGCTTAAAACTTTAGAAAATAAATTACTGTTATTAATTTTTCTCATAATTCCTCTGGATAGTTTACAACACAAAATTATTTTAATACTTCATGATGTGTTCCAAAGTTAAAAGCTAAAGATCATAATTTCTGTTTTAAAATGGATTTCAAAATTTTTCTATTTAATATGACATCCCTTTTAGTTATTCATCTGCGGCAAGTGCCTCACTTGCTTCAGCTGAAGAACTAGTACCTCACTTGCTTTCTTCTTCTTCTGGCTCTGTACATAACATTAAACATTTTGACTGATGAATTCTGCCAAAAATTCATGACTGTTGAATGTTCATTAACAGTCTAAGAAATAGGGTTTTATATTAAATAATTTGCCATTTCATTTGTCGACTGGCTTTAGAACTATCTTGAAAGTAAATACATGATTTGATTATTATAAGAAACACCTACTAATGGACAAGGGTAGTTTTGACACATCTTTCTTCATTTAATAATCATGTTCATTCAGTAATTACGGTACAGTAATCTAAGAATATTCAGAGTCTCTGAAAACTTTTATAGCTTAAGCGAAAATATTGAAAATGTGTTTGTAGGGTAGACTTCTAGCACAATTAATTGATTTTAATGACTAAACGATATATTTTGTGAGTAGTTTTTAAATCTATTAACTGCAAAGCCTTTTCAAATTTCAATTTTTCAATTTCACTTTTAATGATAGATTTTTCCATTAGAAGCAACTCTGTGTATTGTGGCATATTTTTTTTTTTTTTTTTTTTTTTGTCATTTTCCTGCCTTTTCTCAGAACTAGAAAAATTGATATAATTATGTTTGTTATCTGCTTTAATTATCTTCACATATAACCACAGCTGTCTGATATATCTCGGAATTTCTGATTAGTTATCACCTACTTCATCGCTCAGTTCATGAACTTCAGCTGGAATAGCAAAACTATTGCTATTTTTGTTGAAAAAAATGTACTCAACTAACATCCTTTCACTATCAAATATATACCAATTTGTTTTGCTAATCTAAAGAACAACTCAAAAAAGCTCCTAAAAATTAATTACACTACCCCAAAGTAAAAAGAAAGAGAGCTAATTAATGACTAACCCTGAATCTTACTTTCAGGACCCTGAATGTAACTTTTGTTGTATTTAAGATAAAATACAAGAGCAATATTTGCATTCAAATTTTTGCTAAATAAAATTATTATGAATGAAAATTAAATTATGATGAATTACTGGATCAATAAGGATAAAGTAAATACAAATAAAATGGTTCTAATACGCACACTTTAATTCTTTTAATGAAAAATATCAGATAATAGAATTAAAAGACAACAGCTAAAGAAAAAGCAAATGAATAGACAATTCTGTATAATTATTTTCATTTATTATTCCCACTAAATAATTATTCTTACGCTAATAGAAAAAATATTTCACAATTGCTACTCATGTTTTGAATAATATAAATAATTTTGCATACCTTTCTCAGTAAAAATGAAAAGTGATTATTGCATCCTAAACAATTTGTGGCTTCTCGATCATCCATCCAGCGATCATCAATTTTGATTTTTTGTAAATGGGATAAATGATCAATCCTTTTCCACAACACATCTTTTTCTCTAATGAATTAATACATTAAAAAAATTATTTGTAATATAAAATGGTAAAAGCAGACACAAATTTAAAAAAAATCATTTATAGGAATACAAAAGCTAAAAACAGAAACAGAAGGAGAATCTGAATGAGTACCAGATTTCCTGGTTGTAAAATGCACTCCATATTCAAAAAGCTTTAAAAAAGAAGGGGAAAAAACTTCTAATCTACCCCGTTATACACTAAAGAATCATATTTTTGTATTTGTGGAGTGCAAATGAGCTAAAAAAAAAAAAAAAAAAAAAAAAAAACAATAACAAGCAATAAACAACAGGCTTATCATTAAAAAAACTTAGTGATGTAGTCAGTTTAACTATTTTTTTTAAACTGCTACTTCAATAACCTGAAAAGAGATAACTTAGATTTGATTATGACTGTGGCTGTTCTGTATGCAATAACTTAAAGGACGAGACTATTAAGATTTGATTTTGGTGTGCTGGATAAAAGATAAACCATGACTTACCCATGAGATAAAGCTAAAAGAAAATTATAATATCTTCACATGTGACACACACTTATACAGAAACTTTATTTCTTTACTTTATATTTTGTACATTTTTTTCTTTACTTTATATTTTGTAATTTTAAATTACATGAGTTCTCGTTTCATGAAAATGAACTGTTTTATTTTCAAAATTGTTTATAATGCTGGTTTGCTGCATAGTCACCAAACCAAGTACCCGATGTTGGCAAAATTTGCACCTGGATTTCTTCACTCATGAATTTGTTTTTGATTTATGGATAAATGTCAAGCTACCACACTGTTATTATAATTTTCAACAAATGTGATCATCTGCAGTTTGAAATTTGCTGTACAAGAATTTCTCTTCCTGATCATCTCTCAGACAAAACGCAAAAAGGCACAGAAAATAACACTAGCACACAAATCACAGATCGCATAAAAGACAATAAATAAATGGAATAAATGTGCTCGGTTACCAGAGATAAAATCGTCATTGGCGTTTACTTTACAGCGAATTAACTGGAAAATATTCCATCTATTTTACCTGCTCAGCAACATTTTTGCCCTCTTGGCGATATAATTGAATGTTACAGGAACATCCGGCCCCCTTACGTCTTACATATGAGTTTTGAATTTGAAGTTCTGAGACCAAAAAAAAAAGGCACTTTTGGCTGATACACGGATTGGCTTATATAAAGCGAAAATATAGAGTAAATTATCCTTTTAAACTGTCAGGTTAACACTAAGGCTAAAAGCCTCAGGCTTAGGGTGACAGTTTTGAAAGGGTCCCTGAAATCCTCCTGCAGTTCCTCAAAAACTTGTTTTTCACTCAGAAAATGAAGATGGTGAAAATTAAAGGACCTGGAAGAACGTGGTTCTTAGGTTTCAAACTGTCTTAGCAGAGCACAGCTTGTAAATCTTGCGTATCTCAATCAGTGAGCCACGAAAGGCTGCTAATCAAGTGAAAAAAATGGAGCAACACATTTAATAAATATGTTTTTGCACATTTTCTCGTGAAAATTCGATGATATTTTCCTTATAGTTACTTAGTAAATTTTTAAAATATCTTTTTTCAACACCCAAGATTTTGTTTAATCATATCAATAAAAAAGAGAAAGGCATGCAAAGGTACACCATTTCAACATGTTTTTACTATAATTTCACTTAATTATCGAATATAAAAGTATACAAAAAGAAATTTATTAAATCTCACTTCAATAGCTTGATAAGCCTTTTACGAAGCTGCCTAGAATCATTTTGCAAATTTATAAATTCTGCTTCCAAGACACTTTTATCTCTTCGACTGTATGCCTTGAATTCTTCAAACTGAGACAGCAGAATATCATTTTTCTTTCTTTCATCTTCAACAAAGGTTAAGCACTGAAAATATGCATTTAGCTCCAATGAATTACAATGCATATTGTATGATCTCATAAATGTGCACTTGATCTTATGTTTAATAAATATATTTAATGATTTACCTCTAATATAAATTCTTATAAATACTAAAAATTAACATTTCAACCGCCATATATTCTTTATTTTTTTAATGAATATAATGACGTCATTTTAATCAGAATCAAACATTCTTACAGTTTGAAAATAACGGCACCCACAGCAAAATAGCACTAACTGCCCAATCTAAACAGAACACTAATGAATTTATGAATGGAAATTGGCACATATTTAAATTACACCTGAGAAAAATCACAAAAATTCCTTTGTGATTTTCAGCTGCCATGAAGTGGCATAAGTCACACAATTTTGGTGAACTTTTTTTCAGATTCCAGTTTTGTATATTATGGTATGTCTTACTCTCCCAAGATGAGGACATCTTAATAATTGGAATTTTTTTGCAGAAGACAGGAATTAAAATTCGAATTTTGTGCATTTTTAGTAAAAGTCATAATTACCTCATTCCATTCAATTTTTAAATTGCAACCATGGATCCAATTTAAAAAGTGCTATTTTCATATTCTATCCAATCATTCAAATAATATTTAGTCAGATGATATTTCTTAAATAACCTAAAAATGCATATTATATATACATATTTATGTATGTATTTTAAGAAAATAGTTAAAAACTATGAAATGAAATTGTGAAATATATTACTTTTTCTAGGTCTTCACTTAAAGAAAAGCATTCTTCTTCTTGTGCTGCTAGAGCAACATGAAGTTCTTGAAGCTATAAAATTAGTAAAATGTACAACTAAACTAAGATTATACAGATGAAGATTATAATGGATGAAAAGTTAACTGATTTAAGTAACTATTAATTAAAACAGACACAAAAATGACACCTCAAACAAATCACTAATAAAAAATAAATTAGATTCCTCAAATACAAATTGAAGCAATGAAAAAATGAAACAATTTTAGTAGTTAAGTGAAAATTTAATTTAATGAAAAAAATCAATTTTAGAATTTTAGAAATCTTTCACTCTTTATGTAGCATTCATGCATCCTAATACATCCTTATATTCACTCCTAACATACTGCATTAGAAAAGTGATAACTTAAACAAGACTTTTATCAAAAAGACAAGTATATAAAAGTAGTAATTATCAAAAGACAAGATAGGCTATTATCAACCTTACACATTCAAAAAGCACTACTACTGCGAACGTTTTTATAAGCAAACCCAATCACATTATCTGAATATTTATAAAATATAACATTATTAAAGACAAAGCTTTAAACTAAGTACTGATACTTGGGTAACTCTGGAAGTTTTGAAATCACTCTGCCTAGAATACCTGCCATATAAAACCCCTTGTGTTTCATTCAAATGAAACACTTGATAGCGCTGTATACTCACTTCCAACTGCAGTTTTTTTCATCTTTGTCCAGTTAACACAAAATTCTGAAAAACTAGGGAGCTAAATTTTGAACACTTGTGCATCATGAATTTAAAGTAGGATTATGGAAATTATGAATTTCGCAAAACATCTACATGGTGTTTTTGTGTTATTTATTTCCTTTCCAAGCCACAATTTACAAGTAGTTCAAAGCAACAATATACACTCTAAAACAAAAAAAAAAAAAAAAAATCGACGAACCAAGAAGGAGTTGTACGATGGAGACAAAAATTGGTGGATAGGAAGATTATAGATATGATTATAGAATAGAAAATGATTAAAATTTCAGAACAATTGAATGATTTATTTCAGAGTTACATAATTACAAAGCGACGATATCAATAAGGTGCTAACCCAACTCTAGCCAGGATGCAAGCTGCCACATGGCGTGGCATAAACTGATAAAGCTTCCAGATGGTCTCCTGCACTATTTCTTGCCAAATTTGCTCTAATTGTCAGGCTAGATCATCATCATTCCCTCGTAGATGCAGTCGCTTTTCAATCATATCCCAAACATGTTTGATGGGAGAGAGCTCTAGTGGGCCAAGGAAGTGTTTGACAAGTTGTAAGACAGTTTGTAGCAACATGTGCCGTATATGGTCTGGTATTATCTTGCTGAAAAAAAAGGCCAGGGTATTGCAAAAGGAACGGTAGCAAAATAGGTCTCAGAATGTCATTGACGTACCCCTGTGCTGTAAGTGTGCCTCTAATGTCGACCAAAGAAGTCCGGCTATCAAGGGAAATAGCACCCCAGACCATATCTCCTGAATGAGGGCCTGTGTAGAAAGCAAGATCGACATGCCGCTCCAGGCATCTCCAGACAGGTCTTCGATGATTCTCACGACATAGTTGGAAGTGGGATTCGTCGCTAAAGACTATATGTCCCCAGTCAGCATCATTCCAACCTGATAGAGCCAAGCACCACTGTAATCTTGCTCGACAGTGTGCAGGCGTGAGTAGCAGGTGGTGTAACAATCGGTACGAGTGTAGATTTCGCTCTATCAGCCTTCTGTGAATGTTCATGGTAGACACTCGTGTGCGGGTCGTACATCTGATGCTTGATAGCAATGAATCAGGCGCTGTGACAGCTGATCTGACAATCACTCTGTCTTCCTGATCTCTTGTGGCCTTAGGTCAACTGCTACATCCATGACACTGAAATCTGCCATTGTCCACCCATTCTTGCCAGCATCTTCTAATTGCTGCATTACTTCGACCCATATGACGAGCGATTCTCCGATTCACTCAACCTGCCTCTTTCAATCCAATGATACGACCTCTTTCAAACTATAACTGCTATAGTTTGAAAGGTATCCTAAATTGCAATGCAAGAGAAATTTTTAACAACAGTTTAACAAGAGCTTCTTATATATATCTGCTAGATGCACAGTTCTGATGCGCTGGAGACCACACTATTCATTCATTGGACACCAAATTTTAATCATTGTATATTTTGTCAAAACATTTATGCATATGAAATTTCAAAGCAATCGGATGATTCCTTCTTGGTGCGTCGATTTTTTTTTGTTAAAGAGTGTATTTACTGGCTGAAGATCATTGTGGCCGAGTCTCTATGGACTGGCTGAAATATCATGCCTGCGGTAAGATGTTTAAAGACAATCACATAATTTATCATTCAAGTCAAGACACTTTAAATACACGGATAAAAAGAATTAGAAAAATTCTTCGCAAAAAGTTCAACATCAGAAGACTTTGCATTCACTGGATTCCTGATGCCCTAGCAGTGAAACAAAAATAGGCTTGAATAGAAAGGTTGGGAGGGGGGAATGCTTCAAAGATTTGAAGAAGGATGCTAAAAAGTGATTTTTAACTTCATAACATGTGAATTTTAGTTCCATCAACAGAATCCCAAAACGAAATAACTGTCTGCCATACAGGTTTTCGACTTGAATATCCTCCTATCAAGGTAAAAAAAAAAAAAAAAAAAAAAAACAGCACGCCCTTCCTTTTCTATAAGAAAACAAACTGTCAAGAGGTGCATCACAAAATTCTCGCCTAATGTGTTACAAAAAATTACTCAACCAGAAACTGGATTATGCTCAATACTACTACATCATGATAATGCAATAGCTATCTCAGAAAGAATAGCTATTTCACTTTCTAAATGCTGCAGGGGCACAAGTTCTTGGTACTTCCAAGTACTAGCATTTTTTCATAGTAACATCTAACCGAAAACCTGAAAGTATAAGAAGTTGCATTGCAAATATTTCAATAAAATGCAGAAGGAATTATTTTGATATTTACCTATTTTATTACAAATTCTAAAGACTTTTCAAAGTGATTTTTGTATTAAAAGTAAAAGAAACAAACTGCAAATAATCAAGAAATTCAATCTTCTCTGAAACTTTCATAGACAAATCATTACAAGTGGAGATTCAATGTAATACTGCGTATGCAAACTTGATATGATTTTTTCCCAACAGCTCCCACGAAATCTCCATGAACTACAGCCAGCTGCAATTTGTTTTGCCATTAAAAACATCATGTTTTAATAGTAAAAGTTACTTGCAGAGGCAATGTCTTTGCTTTTTACTTATAGAATCCAAAATCCTCCAGCATGGGTGAAGACAATGTACAACACATTTTTTCTTTGCTGCATCAAATTTTAATTTACTTTCATATAAGCTGGTGTTAAATTTTATATTTACACTTTTCGCATCATTGAAATGAATATTAATACTTTAAGTTGTGAAATCCCCGTATTTTTTCTGTTTCAGATGACTATTCAATATCACAATTATGTGCGACTTGTCTAATGATCATCACAGACTGAATGATCAGGAAATATCATTGAGGTATTGAATTTCCTGGATGTTTCAGCAGTTCTTTCTTTTACCAGTATGAACTTAAAAAAAATATGAAGTTTCTGAAACATATTACCTCATTCCATTGCTGCTCTTTCTCATTTTCTCGTTCAAGCTTTATTTCCGTTAAAGCTTCCTCTAATGAAATTATAAGCTGTTCTTGATCATTAATCTTCTGCTTCATACTTTCTAGCCCATCATTTTGGTTACTGAATTGCTAGATATAAAAGCTATGTTAATGGATCAGGAAACAGTATAAAAAGACTTTTCCTTAAAACGAAGGAAATCAGAAGTCAGTGAAAGCAGCATAACCATACCAGTAAAACATCAGAAGATAAAGTCTTTAAGTCAAATGTCATTATATACTTTAATTAAATACTAAATATAAATTTTTCTTAGGTATACACAGATGTGCAAAATTTAGCGACGAGACGGGCTTTCGAATGTAACGTCATCCAGAAGTGTTCTACATCGACCCAAATCATACAATAAGATCCCCAAAATGTGAAAATATGGGATAACAGATTAAAACCCAAACCAAATATAAAAAAGATAAAAAAGAGACTTTACTGGAAAGATAGCTCCAATCACAACTAGACATAAGACAGAAACATCTGTTTGACAGGTATCTGGTAATGAAAATCCAGTCTTTAGGAGGAGTCACTCCTGATAGCAATGCAGAAATTACAATGGCTGTTCATGCTAAGATTTCGTTTAGTTGATTATAGCAAAGCACACCAGGACATCTGTGTAATGGGAGGAATGCTTTAGCGGAGGAACAGGGCTATCTGCCTAAGGGAAGGGATAACTTCATGGATGCGAAACTGGCTGGTATATGCATTACACATGAGGAAAACCATGAAAATGCCCACGCAGACAGCCCTTTCGCCTAAAAATGAACTCAGGTCAGAACTACCAGTGTTCAGCGATTTTACCGCTCGACCACTCAGTAGGCCATGCTAAAAATGAGGCTGACAACAGCTGTTGAAGCATCATGGCTCATTCTTCTTTAAGCATCAATTTCAGCTGCAGAATAGTTGTCGGAATCTTATCACCTGCTGCCAAGTATCTTCCAAGAAGGTCCCACATGTGCTCTATCAGATTTAGGTCCGGTGACCTTGCATGCCAATCCATGCATAAAAATACACTCATGTCCATAAATTAAGGATAATTCGGAGTCACGCGGAAATCGAACTCTAAAACTAATATATCACCTGTAAAATCACTACACACATCTTCAAGAATCATATGCAAATTTCAGGAAGTAACCAGATGACACCAATGGTACGTCACAATGACGAGAGTGTAAGATAGTGATATATGAGGAATACAGGCAAAGAAGTATAATTGTTCACAGGCGCTTTTTAAGCATTTCAGTGCAATAACCGAATAGTTATGACACAAAGGACGCATTTGGATGATTTTTTACGTGGTAGAATTATCAGCAGTCTGGAATGTGGGCGTACCCAGCTGTGAGTATCAGACGAACTTGGAATTGCCCAGAGTGTCATCTCCAGGCTTTGGCAACGATTCCAAGATGATGGTAATGTGAGTAGACGTTACAGCACAGGTCGCCTCAGAGTTACAATGCCGAATGAGGACCGGTATTTGGCAGTTACTGCCAAAAGTAACAGGCAAAGCACAGCCTCAGACTTGTCTTCTCAGCTTTCTTCAGCCACTGGTATGACAATTTCTAGGCAGACCATGTACAGACGCTTAGGGCAGATTGGTCTATATGCTCGTAGACCTGTCAGATGCGTTCCACTTACTGCAACTCACTGTTGCCTGCGGTTAGCCTGGAGTAGAGAGCATGCATTGTGGACAGCGCAACAGTGGGCTTGTGTGATGTTTTCCGACGAGTCCGGGTTTAGCTTGCAGTCTGATTCTCGCCGGACTTTCATATGGAGAGCTCCAGGTACCCGTTACCACCAAGAAAACATCATTGAACGACACTGTTACGGTGGTGCAGGAGTGCTCGTTTGGGGTGGAATTATTCTGGGTTCCAGAACTGACCTGCATGTTCAAATTGGAACCATGACAAGCCAAATTTATCGGGACGTCATTCTGGAACAACATGTACGTTTGCTTCGGGGCACCATGGGCGCACAATTTGTGTTTATGGATGACAACGCCCGTCCTCACCGTGCAAACATCGTAAGCGAATGCGTTCAATCGGAGGATATCACCCCTATGGACTGGCCAGCATTCTCACCGGACTTGAATCCAGTAGAGCACATGTGGGACATACTTGGGCGACGAGTTGCAGCCCGTCAACCTCCTCCTATATGTCTACCGGAACTTCGGAGAGCATTGCTTTTAGAGTGGTGTAATATCCCCCAAGATCAGATCGATAATTTGATACTCAGCATGCCTAGGCGTTGTACGGACTGTATTGCATCATCTGGGAGACATACAATGTATTAACAATCATACCAACCATGTAATATTGTTTTTTTTTTTTTTTTTTTTTTTTTTTTTTTTTGTAATTTGCTCCAGGGAGAAAAAAATCGCTAAATTTTTTAATAATATCAAATATATAGCATCATTTTTACCTCTTTACCTTTTGTTTAATAAATAAGCTTTACAAATAAATCAAATTTGTTTTGCTTCTAACTCTTCCTCTGCCTGATTTTGCATTATCCTTAATTTATGGACATGAGTGTACTTTCTCTCTCCCTGAGTTCTATGACAGCTACTGTACGATGAGGTGTAACATTACTGTTCATGTAGAGGAAGTCTTGACCGCCTTGCACCTCTAAACAAACACACATGAGGCAAAAGAACATCAGTCCGATAGCGGACACCAGCGACTTAAACTCCTCCGGAGATGTTGAGGTCAGTACTAAGCCTGATACCAGCCCAAACCAGAACTCTCTCACTTCCAAAACGGTTCCTTTTGATTATGTTGGACGTGTGACTGCGTGCTCCCTTCCCTCTCCAGATGGGTATATGGCCGAAATCGCTTGCAAGACTACATTGCTGTCTCCATACTCAGCACTCAGTCCCATTCCATTTCATGTGTTTCCAGCATTGGCATCTCTGATGAGTAGGTGATAATGACACACATCACACTAGTCATGACACATATAAAAAACAATTGTGCATCCTCCTGACCATGTTAAAACACATCAGATGTCAGTAATCTGCTGCATGTGCCTTGTATCTCGGCACTGTTTGCCGCCTATCTCTTTTCAGCAGAAGGACAATATACTGGTCATCCACCACCGCTGTTGCTAGCGGACGATCATAGCTGAAAGATGGGATAGCTGTCCCTGCCATTTGAAACATTCTTCAGGCTTGTGAAACAATGCTGTAAATTATTAAAAACGCCTCCTCTATACTTATCCCACTTCGATATTCTTCCAGCTTCCCAATGACTCGCCCTTTGGTAAACACCATGGAGGTAGGAAGTAAGATGGAGTAGCCCTAAACAAGTTTCTCCTGTATCCTGCTCTGAACCACCGGCGATTCCTACGTGGTGACCAAAACATTGGGTCATTTACCATTGAGTTCAATGGGATTTGACGCGTTCGGATGTAAATATTTTGTAATTACGTCGTAAATATACATATAAATAAATGTATATATTTTCTTTTTCTACAACACTTCAGAGTTCTAAGTATATGAAAACAACATATTTTTGAAACAACATTTCATTCTGAACGGAATTAAATGCTATACTTTTCACAGGACAGTTTTCTCAGAATGGTTTAATTTGAATGAAATATTTTCACAAGTTTTCGTTAATTACATTAGAAAAAAAATTAAGGTAATTCGTTTTATTCAGTTAAGGTACAAAAAATAAATTTGTTATTGTATTATTATTTATTTTTTTTATTTTAAAATTATGCATTATTTTTTCTTTTTCTACTTTTTAGAGCCTTTCCTAAAATACTTTCTTAAATATGACATGATTTTTTGGCTTCTGAGGCATCTTTTATATAGAAAAATGTAAGTCAATTATATTTAATGCTCTATTCGGTTCATTTAAATTAGAGAATTATTAGGAATTAGTGAAATACTTTAAATAAGTATTTCGCTAATTCCTAATAATTAAATAGGTATTAAATAGTACTCGACTTTCTCTGAACATTTCTGAAAGGGAATAAAATAAGTTTTTTTTTTTTAAAAGTTTTATTTAAAACTTGTAACTGAGTTATTATAAAATGTAAGCGGAATAATTCTTTTAATTATACTTATCAGATTTTTTTTTTACCCTTCATTTCAACAACACATATTCCAAAACTCTTTATTACGTTCTTAAGCGCGCATCTCATAACATTTGCTTTACAATACCTTTTAACAGATTGCTTTCCAATACAAACAATTCTTGCTTAAATAGTTTTATAACGTATTTGTCAACAGGATTTCAATATTAAGGTTATTATATATTTAGATAACATTTATAATCATTATAAATTAGATACATTTAATAATTAGATTTCTTCACAGTACTTTCACAGTTGTTTATAAATGAATAAATTCTTCATTTCAAATACATTTATAAATAATTTAATCAATATTTATGTATTTTGTTAAAGGCAGATATATGCTTTTTGCAAGCACATGCATATTTCCTATTTTTCATTTCCGGCATGTGCAAATCTTTAATTTCTGTGCATTCACTATATTTTTCGAGTAAAGTAATTTACACTAATTTAGCATACACCCGAAGTTTTACATAAAAAATATATATGAATATAATTTGAATGACGGATTGCAGCATTTGATGGTAATTTTATTTTTAATTAATCCAAATAAGTAAAACGTGTAAGCCCAAAGTGATTATTTTTCAGATATATAAAATTAAAACGATGAGTTTAAAATGAGCAGCAGTAAAGCCTCTAGTGTAAAAAATTTTAAAAGGCACATGTTACAATAATATATGGATGTGAAAAAAATTATTTATTTAAAACATTTTGGCGTTTGGAACATAAAATAAAAGTAGCGAATACTCTATGAAGGGTATCGAAAGACGTATACAATTTTAAAGGTACCATAAGGTATTTTTCATTCTTCAAGCATAACATTATTGTTAAAATCTATATTTTTGTAGTTCAATAGCTTAGAATTTTATAAAACAAATTCATAATCAAAATCGCTGTTGTTAGATCGAAAAATGACCAAGATGTGATTTTTGCGTAAATGTCACTAAACTATACAAATTGCTATTATCCATCACACTATGAATGTTTCTTTCATGCGAAAGTGTCCCTTTTTCGATTTGTATGGAACTGTCGTGTGTCGAAATATTATCAGAACCCTGTCAAGTGAGCTTCTGAATGTAAACAAAGAACACCCCATCTGGTGACCCAAGCTTCAAAGCAGTGCTTCACTTCTAATGTTGGTTGGCCCCTCCTTCCTTTCCTACCTCCATGGTAAACACATCCTGATGATGTTTTCTGGATTTCCTATTGGCCATACCACACTGTAGTAGCAATTCGCTGTCACTGAAATCATAAGACATTGTGTAATGGCTTTCAGCGGATTGCTGAGTGAACACTACCTGTGTGGGGCATGCCTTCCGAAACTCCTCCAAGTCATGTGCCATATATATGCATGCCCACTGTACAATCCCAGGTCTATCTCCTGGTTGGTCTTTTGGTCCATTCTTTTGCCTTGTTCTGCCCTTATGCTTTCTTAGCCTCATCTTTAATTTTTGCACATCACTCTACGATACAGCTTAAGTATAGTAAAATTAATATAATCAGATAATTCAAACAAAGAGAAAGTAAAATACTCTGAATAATAAAAAACAGCAACTATAATAACGCTACCTTTATCACATATTTGAATGCATTTCATTCAAGGCACACAGAAAAATCTAGGCTTAATGCTGACTTTATCTGCTCTATAAATCTATTTCTATTCCAGTTATATGATTTTAAATTACCAAATTTATCAATTCATCATTTCCAGTAAATAGATATCTTTCAGCATTTGAAAATTATATTAGACAAATATAAAACCTACAGTAATCATGACCAATGAAATGCAGTCTCATTTTTCAGTATTTATAACATTGTAATCTCTATGATAAATATATGCTTCACTCTTATTCATAATGTTTCATATTTGTTGCTCTGACAATAAGCCAGCAGTGGACAGTTTGAAATCTATCAAATTTTTATGTACATAATATCAGAAATTAGCGATTAATAAAGAAACGTGGCATTGCATGATTACTATTTCAGATTCCATTTGTATTAAAAAATTTAACTATATTTATTCAAAACAAGTCACATTTCAGACAGCAAAGGGTTGCAAGCAGCTCATGAGCCAGAGTTAAGGTGTCAGAGAGCCACACTTTGTCCATGTCTAACATACAGTAAAACAAACATCCATAGTTCCAGGTCATTTTGGTCTTCTGAGGAGAAGGTTGGCTAAGACAGCATAAATGTTGCTAAAGTTCAATATCACTTCACATCTGAGGTTACCCATGTGAGATTTTTCCTTATCGTGGTATCTGAGGTGCCTGTAATTGCGGGATAAAGTTCCTGCTGACACAGGCCTACCCAACAGTATCAAAGTAATATCACTTCATAATTTTCTCGGAAATAATCAGTTGATCCACTGGGGTGGTAGCTTATCAACCCATTTCAGCCCTGTTGGGCAGAATAATCAATTTCAGAATGGCCTGAAGATCAATAAGAGTAAATACATGTTATTTACAACATGCTGATGAAAACAGAGAAGATAATTACAAACACAGAATGTATATAAAAATACAATATACAAATTGCAGTGCAGGAGGAATTAATTCAGGCTGTGTTGTTATTATTGCTATTCTTATGCCCTCCATTACATGCTTAACCACATATTGATTTCTTCAGGTGCTATTCGTCCATGCATATGTGCTAACATGAGGCAGGCTTGCCAAGATGATAGTCTGTTGTCTCTGTGCAATGAAACAATTTGGTTGGGATCACCAACCACACCACATGTGAATTGGTCATTTTGTTATAAGAAGTGATGCAAATAATGCATACAATCTCAGATGGTTTGTTTCACAGTACTGGAAATTTCTTAGGAAAGGTTGGAGAAGTATATTTAATTAGGCTAAAAATAAAATAGCTATTAAAATCTTAATAATAATAGAAAAGTATTTTCAAAATCTTGTATCTTAACAGTATTTCAAATCATTGTAAACAATATACTCCTATCTATTGTATGCAGCTGAAACAAAATTCTGTAGCACATATTGGTTGCACTGAAATATTAACAAACTATTACCATATTTGACAGCATATAAGACGCACCCTTATTTAGAAGGCCACACACAAGGGAAAAAAGTTTCAATAGTTTACAATAACTTAAAATGTGGTTTCTTTTAGTTCTCACGTTTCGTAAAAGCCAAATAAACAATCATTGAATGCAATTACCAAACATATTTTTATTAAGGAAAATTAACAAATGGCAATTACCGTTGAAAGTTTTTCTATAGGATAAGTTTTTCTTTTGAATATGAAAAACGGCGGTAGTTTTGTGCCATCAGCACAACATGTTAGAACTACCGTATATCGAGTTTTTTCATGACCTGTTGTTTTTATGGTTATTGATTTAGACCCTTTAATACTCACAGTCTTGTTGGATGGTACATCAAATGTGAGTGGAATTTCATCCATATTTCGTATTTGACCAAGCTCAAAAGAAGTTTTCTTGCGTGTATTTGTAACAAGCCTATGAAATGCTAGTATTTTTTCTTCATAATCTGCTGGCATTTTCTGTGCAATAGTTGTTTTTGTGCGCATTGATAAGCCTTGCCTTTTCATGAACCTATAGCACCATCCCTCAGACCCTGAAAAGTTCTGATTCCCATGTTTTTCTGCAAATCCTTTGGCCTCATTAATTATCATTTTGATTGAAACACTTATCCTAGATTTCCTCTTATCTATCACCCACATTTTTACGGCATTTTCAAGTTCAGGCCAAGATGAAGCTGGGCATCGAAGGTTATGCTTTTGTTTTTTAGCAGTCTTCAGTTGATTTTCTTGCAGTCGCCAAGTACGTATCATTTTTTTGGTAGGTGGAGGACCGAAATGCCTTGCTGCTGCTCTGTTTCCATGCACTTTGGCATAGTTTACAACTCCTAGTTTATACTGAATTGTATAGCTTAATCTCTTGTTTCCTGTAGTCATATTTTCAAGGGTATTTTTTTTAAACAAATAGTTTTAAGCACTGATACCGACACGTTTATACAGTGTAGCACCGATACCGACACATGTGTCAGCTGAGTCAAAGAAAGTCTATGTAAAGAAGGAAAGGCTCCATAGACGTAATGTGATCGTTGAACCTGTTCGAACTTTGGCATCAGCTTCGAGCTTTGGTGCTTTTTGGCAACATATATTTCACGCATGCGCAAAATAATTATGGCAGATGTAGAAAAAGTTATGTGTGTCTAGACCTTAATCCGGGCTATAAATAACATTCAGTATTGAAAGTTAACCTGTGTCCTTCACGTATAAGACGCAGGTAACTTTTTGAGACCAAATTTAGGAAAAAAAGTGCGTCTTATATGCTGTCAAATTTGGTAATTAACCAAAATTCTGGTTCCCAAAACAGTTGCAAGAACTACAATTCTAATTGCAAAGTAGACTGAAAAACTTTTTTATTTTACTTTTTTTATGCCAATGTTCTAAAATACTAGAAAATAAATTAACAAATAAAAATATACCTTTAAAGCTCTTTCATACTTTAAAGCTTCAGTATTAAGTTGAAACTGTAAGGCTGCAACTTCATGCTCTTTAGCAGCTTTGCTTAGAATCAGTTGATGAGTAGTTTGATCTAATTCTGTACTGATAATTAGTGTTTTCTTTTCCAATTCTTGAACTTTGTTCTGCAGAATTTTTTTCTCATCCCGAAGAGTTTCAATGCATGCAGTAAGGTCTTCCCTACAGCAATAAATTAAGATTAATTTATAAACTAAAATACAAAACACCCCAAAAGTTCTTAAGAGATATAAAAATTAATAGTAAAAACTATAAGCAACTGAAACACTAAGTTTAAAGATATCATTACTGTAATTTAAAAAAAAGCCTTCTTTTTTAACTGCACATCTACCAATCCACTACATGTGACACTTTTGCTGCTCAAAACTCATGTAAACAATATTCAGTTTCAGTCAAAGCATAATCCATAACTGATTGTGAATCTGTTATTACTATCTAAACTATCCAAATTTCGATTTGTACACAATGTTTATCACTCAGAATACATTAATTCTGACATAACTTGATACGAAGAAATTAATGGGTGTAATTTCTGGAGACCTAGATGGCCAACAGATTACATTATCCTGCCACATCCATTTGCCAGTTTTGAGTACCTTTACTGTGCAAAACTATCATGCGGCCAAATGACATTTGGGTGCAAACAACAAACTTTAGGAAAAGCAAAAATTTTTGTATTATCCAAATAAAAATTTTCTGAGATAGTCTGCTCAGCATTTATAAAAAAAGCAGAGAATGATTTTAAAAAAAAACTTTTTTTTAAGAATAACACAGTAATAGTTAGCGAACATAATTTTTTCACAAAAGTATCAAGTTCGTTGGATCCTCCAACATAAAAGGGGAGGGGGATGCATAGCTTATGTAACATAAAATATGTGAATCAAATGCTTAAAAAATTCTCATAATCACACACTTATGCTTTTTATTACATTTTTGATCACATCACACTTTTACACATTTTATGCTTCACACAAGGTGAGAAAATGCAATTCAATTTTAAACAATAGCAAGACAAGAAAAAGCATAACACAAGTTAAAGTACAGTAAAAAAATATATAAAAGAAGTATAAAAGTAGAAAAGTAAATATAAAAGAGAAAAGTAAGACAAAACAAAAGTAAGGTTCAACCCGGAGACAAAATTAAAATTTACAAGACGAGAGTAAGATTCATTATGAAAATAATAGAACCAGTTGCATTAACAATTATTATTAGAATATTATTAGATGAGCACTAACCCAGAGTTACATACAAAGCAATGATCACTAATAACATTTTTCACTGCTTTAGGGAATTTCTGCCAACCTGAAAGGGAATTAATATAAAAAAGTATTTTTAAACATTAAAGAGCACATAAGTAATACTTCTGTATATCCATGCATAAATGGAGACAATGTAAGGGCTACATGGCAGAAAAAAAATTATGAAAACAATGAGCCTGAAATTTACATTTGTTCCAGGTCCTCCTTACAACCCAGATTTGACACTGCCCACTGAGAAAGATGTTTGCAGATCAACATTATTCAACAGATACAAAAGTTACAGACTACTTACTAATGGCTCAAAAGCAAACTACTAAGTTTCTTCGTAAATAGAATGAAAACATTAATCACATCCAGAATAATATATAGCAGTAAAAGGTAACCATAAAAAACTGTGTGTGTGTGATTATGGCAAAGCCTTGAGGCCTATCTGCCTAAGGGGAGGAATGCCTTCGTGGAGAACTTTCTAAGTGAAACTGGCTCGTATAAACGTTACACATGGAGAAAACCACGAAAACACCCATGCAGCCAGCCCATTCGCGGGCTTTGAACCTCGGACCGAACTACAAGTGTTCAGCGACTTTACCACTCGGCCGCTGGTGGGTCCATAAAAAATTTAAAAATACATATGAAACATATCTAAGAAATCCTTTTCATGTTCTTTCATAATTTATTTTGTCATTAATTTAAACAATCTTGAATATCTTACTTACTATTCCCCCAAGTAAAATTTATTATACTATTCTTAACTTCCGTTAGTTAGAAAAAAAAATAACTATGCTTAAAATTGTAACTAAAATATTAGTTTAAGTTTATTCAAACTAAAATAAGTTAGAAATCAATTTTAAAAAAGCAAAAAAATAAGATTTCTTATATACCCAATAAAACTGACCTATTTCCACCAGAAAATGTTTCCTTCTGCAATTCCATGCATTTCAAGCTTTCTTCTAAATCTTTTTTCTTGATCAAAAGAGAATCTACTTGGGACAAAGTTGTGCATTTTATCTCACTATTTTCATTAACAATCTCTAATAACTGACTAGGTTCAATCAGGTCTTCATAACCAGAATCGTGCGGTCCTAGTGAAGAGGATTCAGGTACACATACTGGAATATCACTTTCATAAGATTCCTTAGATTGACATTCAGATACTACAGAAAGGTCACTTGGAATGAAAGGGCTACAGATAGTTCCTGCAGAAAAGTCAAATGAAGAACAGGCCTCTGTTGAAACTGCTGCTGTGTTTGTCACAGGCACACAGGAACTGCAGTCAGAATTTAAGCTTCCAATTTCAGAAGATGAATGGTCATTACTAGCATAATCATTGCAATTTTCTTCACTAGTATTATCTATTAAAATTTCTTCACTCTGACTCGCATCAGGAAGAATATCAGATAAGCTTTCATTTCGATCAGTTTCATCTGTTGAAAGCTTACTAACTGCTTTACACATAGACTCAAGCCGGCTGTCAATATCTTGCCTTCTTTTAGAGCCCTGCAAAAGACTAGAATAAAGGCGTTGGCACTCTTCTTCTAATATTTCCAATCGGCTCTTTTTTACGGGTTCAGTACCTGAAACTTTACTTTCATCATCAGAATTATTTTGGCTACACTGAGTATCTGAAATGCTGCATTCAGGAACAGAATTACTTACATCATTATTGTGCTCATCAGTTCCTCTGTCATCAACAAACCCACTTTCTTCACTTGACTGCTTGTGTCTCTCAACAAATTCTTTTCTTAAGCTTTGCCATTCTGCTTCAGATTCTGAGTTTTTTAATCTCACACGATTCCAGTCCTCTCTAGTAGTTTCTAACTGATGTTTCAACCTCGTTAATAATTTCCTTTTTTCTTGTAGATCATATTTCAGAAATCCTTCAGATGACTGCAATTTTTGATGCTGCTCTTTCATCATAGACACAAGATGCTGAGCTTCTTCGAGCTCTTTTGTAATCCCTTTTAGATGCACTTCCTGGTCTTTTACCCTACATATCAAATTATTATTCAACTCCTGAGTTGAATCTAATCCTAACTGTAGTTCCATAACTTGAGTACTCAGATCAGTTAATTTTGACAAAGTTGTTTTAAAAATTTGCAATACTGATACTTCAGAGTCATTTGATGCAAAGTCAAAATCTACATTATCACAGATTATACTATTCACTACAGATTCAGGATGGTGTGAAGGAGGAACACTAAATGATAGACTTTGGTTTTGAAATTTAGCACTTTTTGCATCAATAATTCTTAGGAAACCATAAGAATGCAACAAATCTTTTAATGCACATATTGTGGAATACAAATTTGTATTTCCCTTCATTGCAGAACTGACTCTTTCTTGTAAGGAATTTATTATATTATCTTGTTTCATGGCCAGATTTGTGATACAATGTGTATACTTCTCAATAAAAATGTTTTTATCTTCATATTCTTTAAATCTTTGAAATGCAGTTGAAAATTGAGTTTCCAGAGAATCTCTCTTAGTTTTTAAGTGTGAAAGGTGAGAGACAGTAGTTGTTTTATCACATGTCTCTAAAAGATTTATGAGAGTGTCAACAAATGCTTTCATTTCCATTAATAAGCTATTCACCTTTGAATCTGCTGACTGACAAGTATCTTTTTCATTTTTAAAAGTGTCAAAAGAGTCAATTTTATACTTCAATAGTGTTTCAGAATCAACATCTGATCTCTCAGTAGGAAGTAAAGATGAAACACCTAGATCTGACTCAGCATCACCTGCCTTTGGAACGACTGACGAAACAAAATTATTTTCCTTATGCATTTGAAATGATCTGTGATCTATATGTTCCAAACATCTACAGCTAGAATAACAGCAGATGGCAGATTTTTGTTCTGTTTCACTATTCTGATCCTGCAAAGATGTAATTTTACCTTCTAGACAACTGTGAGATACTAACTCACAAACGCTCTTTTTGTCATAAAAATGAGGTCTTTCTAACTCATCTAAAGTACAGCAATTTGTAGAAGAAGGACTATCACTATGGAATACTGTACACACATCCTCTTCCACAGCTTCAGGAATAGTTTGCTTGACAAACTGAACCTGTAGCAAGAAAAAAATTAAGAGAAAATATTTAGATAGTTCAGTATACTATGTTAAGACTGTGAGTGGCCTAACTTTTGGATGTGCTCACGAAGATCTGTATTTAAACAGCTTCTATTAGCTAAATTTTTATAATTAAGAAAGCAAAATACAGTACAAAGTCCGTAATCTGGACTCGTTGGGACTTCGCGATTCCGGATTAGGAGTTTTTCCAGATTATAGATCATCAATTTAAATTTGGTAAGATGACATGCAGAAATTATACAATTAAAAATATGAAACTGTAATTTATGAAATAAAGAGCAATTATGATCTAAAGGGTATCAAAATTTACAAAAAAAAAAAAAAAAAAAGCTCAATATTTATTTGTTTACTTTATTAAACATTTCTTTCAATGTAAGTTGTTTAAGTTGCTTTGTTTTTTTGTGCTAATACTTTCTCTTTAATTCTCTCTTCTATAAACAGACATAATTTCTTCCTCAGTTACAAAATTCCACTGTTCAAATCCTGTAATTGCAGTGTTGAGAATACCGACTAACTTGTCAATCAAAATTTTGTCGTTTTCAATAACCTCTCTGTCACTTTCTTCACTATCGGAAGCGCGCATGTGTAAGCGCTTTACTGGCTTTACACGCAAGTGTAGTGGACGCATGCATAAGCGTATTACGTGCATGCGTAAGTTTGTGGCTTTGAGGTCTGGATTATAGATCATTCTGGATAATGGAATCTGGATTACAAACTTTGTACTGTATCTTAAATTATAACCTAATATGTAACGAAGTTACTAAAATACCTGGTATATAATATATACCAACGTATATATTAGTATACCTAAGTAATATATTAGTTATTAGTTATATAATTGATATATATTAGTATACCTTGGTAAACATTAGTAGTGAGTATTTTGGTCACTTGGTATACATTACACACACTTCAAAAATATTCATAAGCAGATAAAAAGCAGTCATGCTACTCAAAGAATTTAAACAGATCATAAAAATAATTCAATATATGGTAACTATATACAATCCAATGCTATAGCAAACCCAGCTTCTAATGAACCCTCAGATATAATGAACGAATTTTTTATCCCATCTAATTTGCTATACACTTAATATTATTTTATATGGTAATAGAGAAACTTCAAATGAATGAAAAATGTATTTTATGAACTTTATGAATGCTTTTTATGTTTTTCATATTTTTTACAGAAGTTTTTCCAATTTTCATTGAAAATTATTAACCCTTAAAATCATCTTTGTTTAGAATATTAGGATGCATATTCCATTCATGCAAGAGTAGTGGAAAACACCATTATGAAATCATTCTTTTATCTTCATCCTCTTACCTTTTTCTGTGTTCCAAAAAAAGTATATATCAACCTATTTATTTTTCAAAATAAACAAGTGTGTATATTGTTACACTTGCAAATATTTTCAACATTGGAATCAAATTGAAAAACCTATAAATTAAGAAAAGCTTGTTATTTCAAACAAATTGAAATCTATGTATTACACAACTTTGACTACTTTTAATAGGATCTATTTGTATTTTATACAAAAGATTACAAAAATGATACTGATTTATAGCAACAGTCAGATGATAAACAACAAAAGAGTTGAATAACATCAACTAAAAAGTTACCACGTGAATTAGGATTAGCATTTAGAGGTCTTGAAGATGGTTAAAATTTAAGTAGGACACGAAATTGCTTGACATGCTTGTAATATCTAAGTTAATATGGCATTCTTTTTTTAATCACATTCAGTATAAACCATAACTAAAGATGAGGAAATGTTAGTGATTTGTCATATAAATATCTGCAGTGGGATCACTGCAGATATTTTCAGATTTGATTAAAGATTTCTGTTACATTCTAAGTACAAGCAGTCCTTTAAAATAACAGAAGAAACTGCTAATTTTATTTCTTTAATATATCAGAATTGAGAATAAATATGAAATAATATAAAGTCAGAGCTGGAGCTAGAACCAGTGTGACAGAATTTTCAGAATTTGTGATGCCCAGACCAACAGAACTTATGGATGGCAAAATTTTTAGAATTTAAAGCTGGCACTGAGACATATATGATACATCTTAATAAGTTATCAGTTTCAAATTTCTTTGCTTTTTTTTGATTGCATCAATGTTTGTGTCTAGTGGAAAAATATGAAATTAAGGGAAGATAAACATGTTAAAAGAAAAACTTCTGGGATGAAAATGACAAAAACTGAAATAGTTTTGTTTTCATGTTTTCCCAAAAATTCTCAAAAAGATAAGAAGTTCATCACAAATTTCCTATTAAATCACCCATTACATGTTAATACTATGAAGACACATGTTAATACCATTTCGTCAGATGTTTCTGAAAATTGTAGATCTCAAATCTTGCCTTCAAATCCTTCCAAGTAGCAATCTCTAAAATCCGACAGAAAAATTATCCCAGCCAACTCTGTAAGTGCAAAAAATCAGAAGATTTTTGAAAAGAAAAAATCAGAAAGGAAAAGTTTAAACTGAATTTTCAAGAGAAAACTGATACACATTTCAATATTCTGAAACAATTAGATGTGGGAAAATATTTTACTATGAAAAAATATAAAAGACAACTGAAATTAATTTTTAAATAATTAAAATAGTATTTCTGTTTTTTCCCCCCCGACGAAGAGTTTCGGAAACTGCGTTTAATAGCACTTATTTATTTTTCAGAATCAAAATGTTCATAAGTCACCAGAATGGTAAGTTATTTCACTTTAAAATATGGCAGGAGAAAATATTAAAAATGTTTTATATTAATGTTATTTCTTATATCTCTGAAAAAAAAATTTAAATACACACTGATCTTGAAATCATCAAAATGTTGGTAAGTCGCCAAATTTAGCACCACATACTAAAAAATTTCATATCCCAAAAAGGGAAACATAGTTTTTGATGTAATATTTTATGAAATATTCATTCGCAAAAGAAATTATTTTGAAATGCTTATGTCTCAACTGAGGCAGGACTTCATATCTAAAACTCGAATTTTCATCATTTACATTATGTAGTAGTAAAGAATTCAAACATTTACCCATCAAATACATATTTATTAATGCATCACCAAAAAATATTTCTCCTAAATGTTATTTTACACTCATAATGGCAGTCATAAAAAAATAGATAGAAATCTCAGATGAGTAAAATTAAGGATCTTTTGTAGATTTTGGCCAAAATTTTAAGACTTTTAAGGACTAAAAACTGTTTCCAAAAAATCTAAAGACTTTTAAATACTAGTAAGGATTGTATGAAACCTAAGTTTAGTGTTAAATCCTGTTTATTAGTGTTGTGCAGTGAGGTGTTTGGCATTGAGCTGTGTATCGAGATGTTACTTGATAATTTGGGTAGACAGTGTCTATATTAAGTTTGATATATCTTTTTTTAACTCATTATGTTCAAATCATTAGTTCAGGGTTGTTATTTTATTTATTTATTTACTCATATTAATGAGGATAAGCCTTAATTAATTTAAGTCATAAAAAAAGACAAACTGGCACTTGTGGCAGAGAAGTTAGGTTAAATAATTTCAAATGGAGTGAAAGTAGTTACTTTGAAAACTTTAAATAGAAAGTTTAGAAGTTATTTATGCCAAATGTTATTGATAATATTCTAGAGTAAAGAAAATAGAAACTGAATGACAAAAATCAGAAAATGAAATTAGATAAAATAAAACTATCTCAGTTAGAGGTGAAGTAGTATACCTAATACTTGCCACAAAATTTAAATGCTGAGATGGACCCCTCAAATTGAAATACAGAAAATTTAATTAAAAGGGTAAAAACATTAACAATTTCAGGACCTACTAAAGCAGAATCCTTTCATCTCTTATTTCCAATGGTTTGAAACAGCTTTTATGACAAAAAAAGTATCTGAAGATTTATAAGCAGGGAAGCCTACTAAATGTTTTCAGAAAGTAGGTCACTAATTTAATGGTATATGTGAAACAAGAGTGTATTAATGATTACAATAAACTCAAGTCTATGATTTTAACGGAATTTCAGCCAACCCCTCAAGTGTGATTAAATTATTTTCATTCTGTGCAAAAAAAGTCATCTCAGAAATTTATACAATGTATATCAAGGTTAAGTGAATTTTTTGAATATTATTATCAGTTAAGAAGGGTAAAAGATTTTAAATCATTGTGTGATCTTAAGGTTTTAAATAAGATATTCCATGAACTGGACCATAAATTAAAGTCCCATACAGCAATTAAACAGGGAGCAATATGTTCCGAACCTCAAGCTTTAGGTCATGAATGTGATATTTATTTATCATCAAAATGTAAGCAGAAACCAGTATCTCTTTTTGCAAAATCATCTGCAGGTAACGATAATTAAAGAAGCAAGGGAAATTATGTTACTAAATATAGTAACTTTCATTACATAAATGTTTCAACTGTATACGTAGTAGAAGTAAAAAATCATACATGTATTTTGTATAAAACTAATCAAAATCCCACATTGCAATATTGTCCTAATTTTAAAAGGTTTTCAGTAAATGAGCGAGTTGAAATTATTAAACAAAATTAACGTAGTTTCAAATGATTTTTCTCCAGAGTGCAATGAAAAAAATGTTAGAACCAGGAAATGTTTCTGTGAGAAAGCACATTATCATGGCTTATTTTCCTAAGGAAAGTAAAATTCTTTCAGAAACAGGTAATGCTGATGCCATGCAAACGCAGTGTAATTCTTCGATGTCAGGAGCAAGACCATCAGTGCTATTATTCACTTGCAGTGCATATGCTAGCTGTGTTGATAAAACAAAATTCAAGAATATAATGTGCATTTTATGTGATAATGGCTCAGAAAGAAGTTAATGTATACAGTCCCTTATAAACTGCTTAAAATGAAAATCAATTAGAAAAGAAAGGCTGTCAGATTTTTCTTTTGGCTCAGCAAGAGATATGTATATGTATTAGTAGAGATATGTATATGCAGCAAGAGATATGTATATGCATGTTATATGTATTAGTAGAATTAAAATTATATATAGATGTAACCCTAATCAATTTATTGAAATTGAAGCGTTGGTGGCCGATGTTATTTATGGTAGCACCTGTTTTTGTTCCAAATGTAGAAGTACAGAATATGATGCAAACCCGCGGATCACTTTTAGTCGACTATTGTGAAAGTGATATAACTACTAAGATATTAATTTTAACACACTAAGATTATTGAGAAAGCGATATAAACACTAAGATATTTGTTTTCTATTATGCAGGTGATTTCTGCGGTGATATAATTGCGGCAGATTATTGAAGCCTCTTCTTTCTAAAAAGAGACCAAGCAATTACTTGCGTGCTAATGATTTTCAGGTTTGCTTTACAGGGAAGTCAAGATGTTTACAAGCCTAATTTAAGAGAGTAGTGAAATGAATTTTTGTATAGCTGTGGGGAAATTTATAAACAGCTTCCAGTTTCAGAAAATAAGTGCAAATTAAAAAACACAAAATATTTCAATGAAATATTTTACCTCTGAAATATGCTCATAACCCTCATTCACAGCAGCACTTAACTCATTTTGTAGAAACTGACATTTTAACTTTAAATTTTGAACATCATCTTCCAATTTCGAATTTTCTCTTGAAAGTATATGCATTTCTCGTTTTAAAGACTGGTTTTGTTCCACAAGTTCATCATTTAATTTTGAAAGCCTTTTCATTTCTATTTCAACCTAAAATAATGAATTTGCTTATTTAAACTACATGCTGCAGTAAAAACTGAAAATACTGAAGAAAAGAAAACTTTACTTTTCTTTAAAAATAACTAATTATATATTTCATCAGAAAAGGCATTCTTAAGCATCAGAAAGGTATTATATATAAGAATAAAATGTCAAAGTTTACATATATAGACTATATATTAACATAAAATTAGACAGCAAAATGATATTAACAAAGTGAAGACCAAGGGCATAATCAAAAACGCATTTATATATATATATGTTACCGCTAAAGTGAGAAAGTCGTTAATGTGCACATTACCTAACTAATATGCAAATTTAACTGATTTGCTCAGTTAAAGTGCAGAATCAAGAGTTTTCTGCATTTTACCTAGGTAATGTGCACATTAATGGCTTCCGTATCATTAAAATTCAAAAGTATGTTTCTTTCATTTCCTTTCCCTCTCCCTCCACTTCGCACATTACCTACTAGGCACTCTCGCTAATCTGCACATTGCCTATTAGATGCTCGTTAAACTGAAAATAAGATCTTTGCTGGAATAACGGCAATGTTTCTGTGCGCTTAAATTAACATAATGTTATTTATTTATTTTTCGATATCTAAAAAATCAGGTTAATATAATCAATCAACAAATTAGTAGCTAGAATCAATCATCAATGAATTAAAAAACTATAATACAAAGAATAAATAGTTTAAAATACCATTACAATTAAGGAAATGAGTTTTCAAAACATGTGATAAAATTATCCTCAATTATTAGGGCAATCTAAAGATTGGTGACACTCTGAATTACACAGCAAATGGATTTTACGAGAAGCACACCTCTTTGTGGTACATTTAGATTTGCAGTAACATTTTCTGAAACCCTGTCCGATCAACAATTTAAAAGTGTAAATGGCGGCTGTTTTAAGCATACAGAAATGTTGCTATTGTTCCAGCAAAGATCTTATTTCCCCTTTCACGAGTGCCTAGTAGGTAATGTGCCAATTACCTAGGTAATTTGAGAAATGAAACAGTTTTCCGAACTTTAATAGATCACCCTAGCTAATCTGCAGAACAAGTGATTTTCGCACTTTAGCGGTAACATATACAATAAAAATTAAAAAGGGTATCTTTTTTAACATAATACAGCAGATAATACTGTTAAAGATGGAGTTAAAACATTTATGATTGCTAAAAAAAGAGATTAGAATGTACACCAAATTGGATATCAATAAACTTAAATTTTTGAATAGATAAATTTAAAAAAAATAACTATGTACTGCAATGACTCAGATTTATTTATATGCTTATCTGAATAAATAAAATTAAATACCAAACTACATACTAAACACAACTTTGAAACAAAACAGTACATAATAAATTTTTCCAAAATGAATTCAAACTCCCTCTCCCTCCCACACCTTATTTCATGAATCAGTGCTTAACATGTATCAACTTAAACATAACAATAATTTTATCCAATAAATATAAAAAAATGCATTAACCTGTGAAGTAGCATCACATGTTTCAGAACTTCTGTCTTGGTCTTTCTTAAAGTCATTAACTGATGACTCACGAGGCAGCTGTACATATTTGAAACAAAAATATGAAGATAACAGATCATTCAAAATGGTCTCAAAATACAGTTGTGAGTACTAAAAAACATATAGCTAAAATACGCATGCAAGTAACCAACCTCAGAAGAAAGAGAGGAAGAACTGAGTTTTCTGTTTGGCATTATATGATCTTCTGAAGAAAGAAATGGTTTCCTGGAAAATAATAAAAATACATGATTGTTAAGATATAGGCCAATGAGGATGAATTTCAAACTTTTTCTAACAAGATAAAACAGTAAATTACAATTTATTGATTCAAATACAACACTTACCGGGCAAATGAAGGGAGATCAAATTCTGAATTCTGAGGTATGATATCAAAGTTAAGTTCATTCAAATCATACAGAGATTTGATTAATGGTGACCAAAGCTTTGTCTGAGCCGGGATAGATTTATTATAATAAAACTCTCTGCAATAAATAAAATTTTAAAGTATCAAAATATCTGAATGAAAATTAAAAATAAATTAAGTTTATTCATCCAAAAGATAACACATAAATCTTGCAATAATGTATAATACACAAAATGAATCAAAAGTTGTGCAAAATAAGAAAGAGATTTTCATACAAAGACCTAAAAATACTTCTATCACTACCTGTAACTAATAAAAACAGAAATATTTGGTTACATTTAAGATGCGCATCAGTATAAATAAAGCTATTTCAAATATGAAAAATATAAGGCCATTTTCTAAAATTTGATGTTAGAATTCTTTTAATTTATTAACAATTTGTTGGTTTGCTTGAGCAAATTATAATAAAGCTTTGAAACATCGAAGAAGAAAATTATATAAATCAGTGTTAACAGAAGATGAGTAAAACACTGCATGAAGCTTTGATACTGGCTGATATAATTTTGATTTCTCAAATTCTAAAAATTAACTATGAAGCTTATTTACTTCCTTTAACAGATAAAAAAAATCACAATAATAAAAAATTATGCATGGATCAGCAATTTTCCAGAAATGCTAACTCAGCTAATTACAGTAAACTAAAATTAAAATAAAATCACACATAAATGGAAATTAAAAAAAAAAAATCACACTTAAATTCTTTTTAGGTTTAAAGTAATATAGGGGGAAAAGCAGCTTACCTAGTGATTTTATGATCTATGAAACAACTTTGCAGCGTATCAGCAAGACATCTCTGCATTACACAAAATCTAACAAATGCCCGTCCTTTCCCCAAAGAAGTTTTCAACTAAAATACCAATTTTAACATTTATTTCATTCACAAAGGTCAGAGTTCCATTATAACATTAATGTATTAAAAAAAAGTCAATTTGAGCTCTTACCTCTGGCATAGCTTTCACATGCTGAATACCATCATGTGCTCTCTTAGACACAGAAAAACAAGTGCATACATAATCCCAAAATGACTTCCTCAGACCGAGAAGACCCGGCTTTTCTGCAAGAATATTGGCTTAAATTTACTATTTCCTCGTTTTTTTTTAAAAAAAGATTCCCCCCCCCCAGCATTTCAATGCGTTATATTTTTTCCAGCCACAATTTCATCAATACCTGGTACAGTCAAAAATCTTTAATCCGGACTCGTTGGGGCTTCGGCGATTCTGGATTATAGATCATCAGTATTAATCTGGTAAGATGGCATGCAGAAATTATAAAATTAAAAATATGAAACGGTAATTTATGACATAAAGAGCAATTATGATCTAAAGGGTACCAAATTTACAAAAAAAAACTTAATATTTATTTGTTTACTTTATTAAAACATTTCTTCAACGAATGCGTTAAAGCTACATACGCATAGTCGAATTAGAAAATTGCAACCAGAAACTATTGGATGTGTACTCGTGATATTTAAATGACGAAATTTGATTTAAATCATATCAAACTTAATACACGAGATGAAATACATTTAGTAAGGAATTATAAGCTGAATAAAATAAAGCCTCTAAGAAGATAAATAGTGCTGCAAATCAACTTCAGTCTTTCGCACCGCAACGCCCCCCCCCCCGCAGAGCAGCGTGAAATTGATAACAGATTTCGAATGGTTAAGAACAAGGGATATGCTTTTATCCATTTTTTGCAGCATTCCACTTTTTGTTTGATGGACATCGAATATACTTTGGCTTTGTAGATCCTTTGGCAGCTCCAGCATCGGAAATTCTAATTGACATAATCGAAAGTTCAAGCTTACTTTTATAAAATTGCTCTAATAATCTGCAAAAAATAATAAGCCGGATCCAATTCAAAGATTAAGGAACAACGCAATCTGTAACATTAACTGAAATAGATAATAAGATAATTTTGGCTTAGCTTATACCGTCCGTTATACATTAAACGTGCATGCGTACAAGTATTACGCGCTTGCGTACACGCCTATGCGCATGCGTGAACGCATTATGCGTTGAAGCATGCGCATAAAGTTTGCAGCTTTGTGGTCCGGATTATAGATCATTCCGGATTATGGGTGTCCGGATTAACGATTTTTGACTGTATTATACTTGAAACTGCAGCATAAATCAAACAACACTCACACACTCAAGCATGACCACTTTTTGATTTTAATCAATTCCCTTACTATTAAATATTATTTCATTAATGAGACTGTGATGATTACTTTCATTATTATTAAATATTCTTTCACTGATAAGATTGTGACCATCACTTTAAGTATAATAACAATCAGCACAAAATACACATGTGTGCAAAATCAGGAGAATTTGCACATTATGTCGAACTTCTGAAAAGCATGGATAAATTTTAATGTAATTTAATATGAATGTACATTTATAACAGTGAAAGAGATGTACTATTCAAAAGTCATTTTACGTATGTGTTACTGTGAAAGACCAAGATTTGGAGAATGTTGACATTCACATAGTCGCTTGGTGCATGTCCAAAATATTTGCCAAATATTCTTATTTCTGACTTACACCGGCAAATGTCGATATTCACCATGCACTAATGGTGAATGCTGAATACGTCGGAAATTTGCATTTTGTTCTCCGTGTTTCAGGGGCTATAAAACTTCAAGGGTGACATAATGCTTTCGCCTGTCCCTGCTAAGAGGAGTAACCAATCCCTGGTGAGAAGAGTTGTTCGTACTCTATAGAGGCGTTTTCACTATGTGACAGCAGCTTTTGATTCTAACGCGAGAAGGGCTATTCGATATTATTTGACTTCTTAATAATGACAGCAGTCGTGCTTGGATAAATGCATTTAATTTTAAATTTAGTCAATAAAGAACTTTTTTTTTTTTTTTACTTTTGCATCTATATAGTATATGTTGAAATATGAAAAAGATTAAGTAACAGCACATGTAAATAAACTTTAGAGCTTAAACAATACATTCTAAAAGAGAAAAGAAAATAATAAATAATTTGATTATGTGATTGAAATCTTATTTATTGTAACAACATAAACTTTTATGATATTTTGAATTGCACAAGATTCCCTTGCTTTTACAACTGCATTTAGTTGTGGAACACTTCCTTTTGAAGTGACTGCGTGTATAGCCTTGCCTTCTACTTCTCGAATTAGCTGCAGCTGCTTACGAATTGATTATGGGTATAAAGCTGCTTGAAGATGTCATTTTTATTTGCTAGTTTATAAAAGCCGGAGTCTTATTCCAGCAACAACTGCCAACACATTTCGGCCATCTGCACATCCGCGGTCAACATCAGGAACTTGTATTTGTATGGTATCACCAATTTGTGAAAGTTTTTTTGAGGTTCATAACATTTTCGTTGCTTGCAGTAGAAGATTCTCTTTCGCGGCTGATCTTTTTATAGAAATTAACTCGTGTTGTTCAGTCACGGCTTGATATGAAGATGTGGTAGGTTGCAGGCCCTCTTAATTTTTTTTTTTTTTAATATGGTTTTTGGTATGGCCACTGCTAAAATTTTCTTCAAAAGTATTAACAGTTTTTTCAAGCTGTTCTTCAGTTTCAAAAGTATTAGCAATTTCTTCGAGTTGTTCTTTGGTTTCAATATTTGCGATTTAATCGCAAGGCAAAAAAGACGATGCTATACCTCTTCTTAGTTTAATGCCAAACATAGCTTCATAAGGAGTAATCAATACCGGTGAGGAGAGATGTGTTTGAAAAATAAAAACATCTGTCTTCTCGTTTACTCGCAATTAATGCATTTAACTTTTCACAGAAAAGTTTACGATTCACTGCAGTATCCATTCAACATAAATTAGGATATCGATTAAAAAATAAATTTAGGAAACGTGCACGTACCATCAACCTCGCATAAGACTGACAACAGTGTTCCAGAGTAATACAAAACAGCTACAAACGAAATCAAAGCTCAACAAAAGTTGCGACAGACAGTCGCCCCTCTGTTGAACTCGATTTCTTTTCACCCCACTACAGTATTGTTAGTCGACATACAACCGGTGATGGTCCCGAATGTACAAGAATATAACCAAATATCCGGTCTTTAACCGACTTATTTAGTACGTGTTGACATTCACTGGTGAATGTCGACATTCTCCAATTTCGGTCTTTCACAGTAACATATGCATAATTATCAGTAGAGCTTACATTGCAAGGAACCTCCAAAATCGGTGTTGTGATAATCAAACTGAAAATGAACTTAATATGGGGTATGGGTCCCTTCTCACAGCCAGAAAGGTCACGCAGTAGGAGGCATATAAGACAGAAGGCAGTTGAGGAATTCCTGTGGCAGTCGATCCCACTCCTGCATCAAGGCAGTTTACAACTCCAGGATTGTTCTCGGAGGGGGGGTTGCAGATGAAAAATCTGCCCTCCAAAGAGTGTCAAGTCTCTATAGAGTTAAGGTCTGGAAATCTCACTGGCCAATCCATGTGGCAAATATCCTCACTTTCCAGATAATCGTTGACCATCTCAGCCTTATATGGCAAAACACAGTCATCCATGGACAGGAACCCAGGACTAACTGCACCCCTGAAAAGTTGAACACAGGACTCTGAAGTTCTCTCTACACTTTGTAGCAGTCAAGAAGCCTTTATCAAACACATGTAGTGGTATACGGCCATCCAACATAATTCCTACCCAAACCATTATACCTCCACCACCGTAATCATCCTTTTCCCTAATGAGTGAGGGATGGTATCAAGTTCCAGGAATTCTCCAAATACAAGTATGTCGAGAACAAATGCCCAGGCTGAATCTCGACTCATCGACAAAAAGCATGGTACTCCATTGAAGGTCTGGTCTAAGGAGCATGCTATCAACATCATGCTTAATGCGCTCTCTTGTGTGCTGCAGTGAACGAGACGCAAACAGCGGGTCTTCTAGCATACAGCTGTATCTCAGGAAACCTTTGGGCAACTGTACATCATAAAACTCGGGTTCGAGTGCCAGCATACAGCTCACACCAGAGCTGTAAAGCTGTAGCAGTCCTGTGTCGCTATGCTGAAAAGTGCCAAATAACGATCCCTATTCATCGCTGTGCATTTTTGTCGACCTTTCAAGGTCTTCTTAATATGGATCCAATATCCTGAAAATGGTTGCACAAACTGCAGACGACACTGGGCGTTACGTTGAGCTCTCTATCTACCTGCGCTTGTGATTAGCCTGCCTCAAATCTACTGACAAATCTCAATCTCACTGTGTCATCCATATGTTCATGGCGGTGTCCGCCGATAACATCGCGGCAAAAACATCGCGTACGAAAACGTCGCGGAGAAAACAACGCAAGGCGAAAACGTCGTGCTACAAAACATCGTGGGCGAAACATCGCAGTTCTAAATCATCGCGGTACAAAATATCGCGTCGAAAATAAAGCGTTCAAAAACTTCGCAGTTTAAAAACATCGTCGTCGAAAATATCGTGGTAAAAATAAAGTATCTACAAATCATCGCATGACGATAACATCGCAGACTACTTTTTTCAGTTTTAATAATTGTAATGGATATTCCATAATGATTGTGAGCGCAAGAGTTAGAAGGAGAATTTTTACTTTCACATTTTTTTTTTGTAACTAATAAATTTTTGCTGAAAAAGTAAGAAGGAAACTTAAGCATAGAAAATTAAATGCAACTTATAGATTATAGTTTTTCAGAAAAATTACCAGTAAAAACTTTATAAAAACGATTTATTAATATGGCCTTTGTTAGTTAACTATGTCGGTTTAAAATTCTATTAAGTGCTATAAGTTGCATTAATTTTCTATGCTTAAGTTTCCTTTTTATTTCTCAGCAAAAAATTTATTGATTAATAAAAAATGAAAGTAAAATTATCCTTCTTTCCATCTTGCGCTCACAATCATTACGGGAATATCCATTTACATTATTAAACCTGAAAAAGTACGTCTGCGATTTTCGTCATGCGATGATTTGTAGATACTTTATTTTTTATCACGATATTTTCGACGACGATGTTTTTAAACTGCGAAGTTTTTGAACCGCTTTATTTTCGAAGTCGATGTTTTGTACCACGATGTTTTAGAA